TTCCATCCTCTGTTCACTTCCCAGATGCCTGCCACAGCTAGAGCTGGGCCAGAGCAAAGCCAGGAGCAGTGACTGCATGACCTACTTGAGCCATCATCTGCTGCCTTCCAGTGTTTGCACTAGCAGGAAGATACAGAGAATATGTGAGTCCAACAGGCATTCTCACATGGGATGTGGGTATCATAAGCTATGTCTCAACTGCTAGGTTAAATCCTTGTCCTCCATCATAAACATTTTAAAAGTATGTTTATACATGAAAGCCAAAGACAACTGTAGAATGAGGTATACCACCCCCTAGAAGAATGTTGTGATTTATTCATCTCTTCAAGAAAAATAAACTAGATAAGCCCCAAATCCCCTGCTTTTCCTACTGGGTCTTCAAAGGAAAAAATGAAAACTGTGCTCTAGGCCTAGTGCAGTAGCCTAGTGGCTAAATTCTTGCATTGCAAGTGCTGGGATCACATATGGGGCTCCAGTTCTCATGCAGCTCCCTACTTGTGCCCTGAGAAAGCAGTCGAGGACAGCCCAAAGCCTTGGGATCGTGCACCCGTGTGGGAGACCCAGAAGAAGCTCCTGGCTTCGGATGGGCTCAGTTCCGGCCATTGTGGATGCTTGGGGAATGAACCAGTGGACAGATCTTTCTCTCTCCTTTTCTCTATAAGTCTGCCTTTCCAATGAAAATAAATACATCTTAAAAGCAAAAACAAAGCAAAAACTGTGCCCTGATGGAAAGGGCTGGGCAAGGGCATTGGAAGGTGTGACCCCAGGGAGAAATCAGGCCTGTTGCAGCTGACCTTGTACCTGGGGATGACACTCTGTGACACAATCATTCCCAACACGAAAACCACAGAGAAAATCACTCATGACAGGTGCACAGAGTCAGGTTATTGAAAGAGAGAGAAAACGTGAAATGTGAATCTTCCACCCTGGATTAAGGGAAGTGAATAAGCAAGAGAACAGAGAGAAAGCCACATTCATCTTTGTTACCATCATTTTTTTTAAGAGCCTGATAGGCAAATAAATTATAGTGAGATAATAATAATAATGGGGAAAAACAAAGAATGGAGTTGGCCCAGAAGCAATTCTGAGTTTGTGTTTGTGTTTTTTCTGCTAATGATACTATGAATGAGTGGCAATATATATATACCAGCCAAAAAATAAGATTTAGGTCATACTTCTAAGTGCTGTGGCTGCTTTTCAGAGAGTTGGGATGCTGGGTCCATCCTCCTCATCCTCCTCACCGAGTACTTGACAATGTGTATGGACATACTTAGTTGTCACAGCTTGAGGTAAGTTTCTAATGGCATCTAGAACCTTAGTTCTAGATGAGTGGAGGCCAGGGATGCTGTTAAACATCCTATGGGTTACAGTATAAGCCTCTATAATAAAGAATCACCTGGCCCATAGTGTCAAGAAATGCAGCTCTATACCTAAAAGGTATAGATGCTTTCCTTCAAGCGTGCAGAAACTGAAATTTCTGGAAAAGTGGAAAAAAGGAGAGGAACTATAAGGGAACAACTAATGATGGCACACATACAATGGCAGAAGCTCATATCAGAATCTGAGCAGTTCTAGATGAAAAAAAAGGTAAAGATTAGAGCAGGAGCTATACAAAACCAGATAGCTATGCTGTACATCTGAGACAGAAATGGACTCAACTATGATCCACCTGATACATTCAGATGTCAGGAGAAAGACGAGTCTCCTAGTGTTTAGACAGCACTCTGACGTATATGTGACAGAACTATATCCCAAGATACACAAAGACTCAAATGATATATTGCCTGTAAAGTCTTTCTGGTTTAAAAGAATTTACTTGAGGGGTTAGCACTGTAGTTTATTAGGTTAAGTAACTGCTTGCAACACTAGCATCCTCTATCAGAGTCAAGTCCCAGGTGCCCCACTTCCAGCTAATGTCTGAGAAGGCAGCAAAAATCACCACTGCCACTTGCATGGGTGAGACGGAGAGTTCCAGGCTCCTGGTCTCATCCCGGTCTGGCCTGGGCTGCTGTAGTCGTACGGGGAAGTGAACCAGTGGATTCATCTCTCCTTCTCTCTCACTCTACCTTTCAAATTAAATAACCAAATCTTTAAAAAAAAATTACCTGAGATCTAGTTTCAGTTGGCCAAGAACAAACTAAGAATGAAGAGGAAGCTTGGGTGGCCAAATTCAGGATTCTGGTCCAGATGTATGTTATTCTGATTGTAGAGCTCAGTGGTAAAGCACAGCCCTGAATACTTCCTTGAACTATTCCTTCTTCATTATACAGAACTGCTGGAGTCACATCTTTCATTTCACAGACTGGTGAACACTTAAAGCCAGAGCTATTGAAATCAACACTGCTGGGACAAGGCTTGAGAATTACTAGACCACAAGTCTTCTTTGTTGAATTTATTTTTCTAACATAAAAGAGGTACAGTAGGTTAATCATTTTTTTCATTGGGTAGCAATTCAAGTAAACATTTCTGCATCTGTTTTTGTTAAAGGTTTATTATTTATTTACTTATTTGAAAGTCAGAGTTACAGAGGGAATTCATCCATCAGCTTGTTACTTCCCAAAGGGCCACAATAACTGGAACTGGGGCAGTCTGAAGCCAAGAGCCAGGAGCTTTCCCCTGGTCTACCACATAGGTGTAGGGGCCCAAGGACTTGGCCAGCTTCTACTGCTTTCCCATGTTGTTGGAGCAAGAGATTCTTAGCTCCCAGCCGTGCAGTCTCACTTTTAGGGCTCAATCCACAAGAAAACACTCTGCAAGCTTTCCTTAGATAAGATATAAAACATTTATTGAGCAGGGATAATAAAATAAGAGAGGGTAAAAGAACCCAAGGTAAGAGGAAAAAGGGAAGATTAGGTAAAGCAGAATTCATCCACTTTAGCATTTACCACCTTACGGTCCTTCTCCACAGCACGACCCTCAGCACCAGACCGAGAACAGTTCAGCACCTGGCATCACGGGCAATTCAGCACCGGACCAGCAACAACATGTCCTTGGGCATCACGGACAACTCAATAGGGCGTGCTGCTGCTTCTCTGGCTATTGGTTGTATATATAATCCTTTACACAAAAGTGGCACTGGGCCAGCTATTCTGGTCCAGTATCTTCTCCCTGACCCATACACACATTCTTTCCCAGCCCCGGCTGAGGGCCCAAATGGAACATGTTCAGACAGGGGAATCTTATCTTGCATAAACAATCTTGCAAACCCTCATCCCCTTTGCTCCTGGCCAGAAACCTAAAGGAAGTGTGTGCAGCATCTCAAATAAAGCAACCTTCTTTGTCCCGGTTCTTCCCAGGGTCAGCCTACCCCGGAGATCAACCTGGAGAGGAAGTTCTTAACAATTTAACAGCAAAGCCTCACGCAGCACTAATTTTCCCCACACAGGGGCATTGACAGGGAGCTGGATCAGAAGTGGAGCAGCTGGGACTCAAACCAGAACCCAAAGGGGATGCTGGTGCGGCTGTTTCATTTGGTACACCACAGCATTCGCCCCACATTTATTTTTTTAAAAAGATTTATTTATTTTTATTGCAAAGTCAGATATACAGATAGGAGGAGAGACAGAGAGGAAGATATTCCATCTGATGATTCACTCCCCAAGTGGCTGCAATGGCTGGTGCTGTGCCAGTCCTAAGCTAGGAGCCAGGAGCTTCCTCCTGGTATCCCACACGGGTGCAGGGTCCCAAGGCTTTGTGCCATCCTCTGCTGCCTTCCCAGGCCACAAGCAGGGAGCTGGATGGGAAGCGGAGTTGCCGGAATTAGAACCAGTGCCCATATGGGATCCTGGCGTGCGCATAGCAAGGACTTAACACGCTAACCCACTGTGCCAGGCTTACATTTCTGTATCTTTAAAGTAAATATTGAGTAACTTGAGTCACTACATTTTTTGTTTAGTTTTGTTTTAAATTGGTAAAGATAACTACTTTGAAATTAACTATAATCAAGCCCTTGTCATTTTTTCCATCCAGGACATACAAATGGTCCTTTATTCAGTGTTAACTCAAATGGTTTAAAACTTACACATGTATGTCAGGAATAGAAATAAAGACAAGATAATCTATCAGTTAATTATACATGAATAGTGTATTTCTCGGTGGTTTTTGTTTCCTTCTGTAAAAGTTTGCATATTTTGCAAATTTTCTATAAGGAGAATGTATTATTTTTAATACTTAAAAAGTTTTAAACATTTTTTTAAGAAGATATATTTATTTTACTTGTATGTGAGAGTTACAGAGAGAAGGAGAGAAAGACAGGGAGCTCTTCCATCTATTGGTTCATTCCCCAAATGCCTGGAACGGTCCAAAGCTGGAAGCCAGGAGGTTCTTCTGCGTCTCCCATGTGGTACAGGGGCCCAAGGCCTTGTGCCATCCTCTGTTACTTTCCTTGGGTATTTTCAAGAGGCTGGATCAGAAGTGGAGCAACAGGGACATGAACCAGCGCCCATATGGGATGCTGGTGGAGAATTTGCCTAAATGCCACTAGACTAGCCCCTAACATATTTTTCTGTTCATGCCAATGATTTCTGTGCAAATAAATGCTCAGAAAAGAGATAATTAAGAAATGAACTGAAATTGGTATCACATTCATTCATTGTTTACTCATCCAATTGTTTACTAAGCAACTGGGCATAGTACTAAGCACTGGTCATGGCCAAGTGTTAAGCACTGTATCTTCAGGCTTGCATTCTTAGCGCTTTCCTTTCTTTTTTGCGCTTCTTTAAAGTTTTATTGTGAACTTTTAAAAGATTTTAAATGGTGGGCTTTATATTTATTTTTGAAAAGGTTCTGATAGAATCAAAGTTCAGAAAGAAGTGTGCTGGCATAACTGTATAAAACTGTACTAACAGGTGAGTTTTTGAGAAAATCACATTGATATTCCACATGAAGGGTTTCCACTGTGCCATACAAAATTCATTTCATTAGCAAACAGATGTCATACTTCTTAGAAAAAAATTTATTAGTGAAATTTGATATTGCCTTCACTGAATCTATCTTAATGTACTTTGTGTATCTTAATAATGTAGTTTTTGAAGAGCCAGTATTTTAGATGTATATATTTAGCATGCTTTGTAAACAGCATAAGTTTTTTTAGTAATAAAGGCTTTGGCATAATACAAAAATATACAGTGCAAAATGAATCTGAATTTACATAAATACAAAATACTTATGCCATATCTTATCATGATTGAGATTTTTCGTTAAATTTCTCTTTTTCACTCTTCTTCTGTTTTTCTTCTGCTTGTTTTTCAAAATAATCTTTAAGGAGATGGTTCAGATGTGGTTCACACTGGGTCGCATGTTGCAATCCATCTTTCCTTCCTTAAAAAGATACAAAATACAAAACAACTGTTCTTGATTTTATGTTCATCTCTACATTGTTATGTCAGTCATCACCCCCAGCAGCAAATCCACAGCTGTTCCTGCCTCAAACGCTCTAAACATTAATGCAAACTGGTCTATTTTGACTCAAAATGAGTGAACAGAAGACATTTACTATTTTACCTTCACAATGCTGGATCACACGACTCCATAATCGATTTTTTCTCAAACAGGCTAAGTTCCCCACAATCAACAAATGCCTTCTTCCTCTGGTCAATGCAACATTCATCCGTTTCTCTGAGTCAATGAATCCTACTTGTCTTGTCCTTACGCAGGACAGAATAATGATCTCCTTTTCGGCTCCCTGAAAAGCATCTACTGTGGACACCTGCACCGCTTTAATGTTAGGATGGTCAAAGTCCACTGCATTGAGTAAATGACACAGCTGCAGAGGAAATAAGACAGGGGTCAGGCAGCACAGGGACTGCGAAGAAATAAACTTCTGAGCCTATTCACTGCAACCATTTTATTTAACTAGCAATGGATAGTTGGTGGTGCTCTTTTCTGATTAGTGTGTGCTTCTCCGGCTAGTTTCTAAAATGATAGGTAAGTGACTAGATAACAATTATGAAAAAGTCAGAAGTGATGATTTGTCTATTGCTGAACACCTTGTTTGGAGATGTTAATTCAGAGCTGAGAAATAATCTAATAATGAAACAGAAGGAAAAAACCATTAAAAGGAAAAACTAGTTAGAGGTAATTGGCTCATGTGTACATTAATATGTGGTACCTATCCTTGATCTGCTGATAAAATGTAATAATAATGAAAGAACATTTTGAAAAACACTGATTCAATCCCATCTGTCTCAAAACACAAAGCATACGCCATATTTTCTTCCCTCTAATTTGTTTATTTGCATTTTTGCCCCAACAGCTGTAAACTGAATTTAATTAAACCTTATTAGGTTTACATTTAATTATATAGCAAAAAGCCAAGCCAAAAGAAATTAGAATGTTTCCTTTTTTTATATTAATCATAGTCTCAAAAGTTTTTCATGCACCAACCAAAACTATCAACAAATGTACCATCAAATATTATAACATGTAATTGTGATATTCAATATCTGACAAATATTGTAGTATGTAATACAAACCTTGTACATCTGGGATTTGTATAATGTTATCACCCCAATCATAGAGCCCTCTATTCCACTTGCGATCAGTGATTGAATCAGCTTGAGTGTGAAGCTAGCTTCTGCCACATTATGAAAGCTGTTATCTCCTTCAATCTGGAATCAGAAGCAGATACTAAATTACACTTCCCAGAAAGGGTATATGGAAAGACCAAGTAAAATCACAAAAACAACAACAATAAAATTGAAACAGACACTAAACTACGTTGAATCCCATCAACAGTAATGTCATTTTACCTGTTCCAGCCCTTTAACATTATAGAAACACAGGGTTGGCAGCCATTCCAATAAAGGGCTCCTCTCTGTGTCTGAAATGCCATTCATAAGGTTTCCTTCATAAAAGAGATCATTAGCGATAGCACTAATTGCAGGGTGACAACGGTACTGGGTTCTCAACATAACTGATTTGTGACCCTAAGAAATGTAAATAAAGAAAAGCAAGATTTTAAAACAGAATTTTTTTCAGTAGAAACAAAAATGATGCTAGTTGGATAGTAAAAACATCGCTTTTAGTATAAGGAGATAAATTACTACTAAGATAAAATGCAGTACAAATTAAAAAAATGTAACAGTTTCAAAATACTTACTTTTCATTTATTTGAAAGGCAAATATTAGAAAGAGAGTGAGAGAGATAGGAGACACGTCTTCCATCTCCTGTTTCACTCCCCAAATGGCTGCAATGTCTGGGGTCCAACTATTTAAAGTACATGTACTTGATACATTCATATAGCCTTAAGAGTGGAGGGAGGACCCTTAAACATGCCGGGATCCCATATGGCCGCTGGTTCTAATCCCGGCAGCTTCACTTCCCATCCAGCTCCCTGCTTGTGGCCTGGGAAAGCAGTCGAGGACGGCCCAAAGCCTTGGGGCCCTGCACCCGTGTGGGAGACCCGGAAAGGACACATATCTCACCAACAAAGATCAGTGAAAACTCTATCTCACGGATTTTGATGTTTTTGTTTTTATTTTCGTTTCTTCAAGACAGTTTTTTGGTTAAAAAAAAAAAAAAGAGTCTGTCAAACATGAAAAACAACCAGAAACGGGCAGATAATGGCTGTACAACACTGCACTATACAACTCTTTCAATCTTGGCTTCATAATGGGGCATTTAAATCATGGGTTTCCACTTACCTAGGGATTGGTGCTGTGGCACAGTGGATTAAACTTAACCTGCCTATTGTGATAAGAGCATCCATATGGGAGTCTGTCTTAAGACATTCTGCTTCTAAACTAGCTGCCTGAAAATGTGCCTGGGAAGACAGCAGAAGACACCCCAAGTATTTGGGTCTATCACCCATGTGGGATATCTGGATGGTATTTCTGCCCTGATATCAACCTGACTCAGCCCTGGCTCCTGTGGGTTGGTATTCGGGACATGAACCAGTGGAAGGAAGATCTCTCTTTATCTGTGTCTCTCCTTCTCTCTGTCACATTGCCCTTCCAAATAAATAAAATTTAATCAGGCATACAATATATAATAGGCAAATCACAACTCTATATAAATTTAGTAATACATACCATTAAGCAAAGTCGATCAAAAAGAGTTTGTTCCAATCCATTTGCATGAGCTGCCTCAGAACCCTGAATAGTTGGAGGTAACTGTTTAGGATCTCCAACAAGAATCAACTTCTCACACTCAAACCTAAAAGCAGGATTTCAAAATCAAACAAATAAAATGTTGCACTGATACCATTTATTGGACTTTTCATAACATATTCCAAAAATTTTGAATCCAATCAAGTATCTGAGAATAGTTAGGCTAAAACTAGTGCTAATAAGTATGCTAAAGACTTTGAAATCTTACACAGTAAAGAATCTCTCATATAATTTAAGTTTTTCCACATAAAATCTAGTAAGTCTTCCCTGCTTCTGCCTACAATTATTGTATCATGCATTTTTGGAAACACTGATTTTCAGAAACCACAAACTCCCAGAATGAGAAAGTTTCTTAGAAGTCTTTTGTTTCAAGCTGTTATTTTATAGGTAATAGTAGGACATCATATGGAAAGTCCAAGTTTTGTTGACAAACCTAAAACCTCAAATTTATTGTAGTCTATGGACATGAGAAACTATTTAATCTCTCCAAGTTGCAGCATTCTGATCGGGGAGATGGCTGTAAGGATTAGATGAAGTATGTAATGTGTTTAGTATACGGTAGGTGCTGTATTTCTCTCCCACGCTTTACCCTGTGCCTTACTGCTCTTCCCCCTCTTGCTCCTGTAAAGGAAAATCAACTCCTTTTGGCATACCAACGACTATCCTATTTTAAAATACAAAGTTTCTGAATACAGAAACTTTCTAAGTCCCCCACAATCCATGACAGCTGGCGGCCTACTCCTCACTGACTGAGAACTACACAAGGACTGAAGTTCAGACCTCGGTGCCGAACTCTTCCCATTGTCTTTAGGATTGCTCAGAAAGAGATGCTCTACACGTACAATGCTTCAGTTGGCTGCAAAGCTTTGAAGACTGGAATCTTGTGGATTTTGAAAGCAATATCCATTTTTAAAATGTTTTCCTTATACACTTAATATTCTTTCATAGCCTAAAAAATATTTTCAAAACCTAAATCCCAAAATTATACCAAAATATGGGAAATAAAGGGTATTCTATAGTAGAGTTAAGTTCTCAAACTACGACTAAGGAGGAAAGCATCAATCTAGTTGAGAAATCTGTAAAACTGATAAAACTGAAACACTAGAGCCCCCAAGGCTTCATGATTCTGTGAACCCAGTGCTTACACAGTAATCTAACAAGCTTGATACATTTACTTATAAAAATTTCCTTATGAATTTTTTTTCAAATGTTAGTTTGGGACATGTGTTGTGGCACCATGGGGTAAGCCACTGTTTGGGACTCCCACATTCCACATAAGAGAGCCTGGTCCAAGTCCAGGCTACCCTGCTTCTGATCCACCTTCCTGCTAATGTGCCTGGGAGATGGGAGATGGTAACACAAGTGTTGGAGTCCCTGCCACAAATGTGGAAGAAGCAGATGGGGTTCCACATGTGACCCAGCCCTAACTGTTGTAAGCCCCTGCAAAGTGAATCAACAGACTGAAGACTGCTTTTTCTCTTTTCCTCCCTCTTTCTTTATGACTCTGCCTTTCAAATCAATAAGCATAACTTTTAAAAAAATATTTTACTTCTTAGAATGCTGAGATTTTCTAGTTTGGAGAAACAATCTTTCACGTTACCTTGCAATGGGAAGGAGAGAAGCTGGTTCAGTGATCTGACTACACTCATCAAGCACAACCACAGGAAACTTAAGATCATTCATACATGGGAATGGGCAGGCTGCACAGGTAATCCCAACCACTCGAACCTTTGTTACAACAAAAAGGTTATTAATTAACAAGTATTAAAGTCAGATAGCAAGGATCACTTTATTACTTTTATTATCCCCACAAACAAAATGGAAATCATGAAATACAGGTTACTTAAACCATCAGTCCACCAATAAGAAAAAATTTAAGGCGCAATTTGATATTCAGAAGAAAGATTCTGAGACTTTACAAATAGAAGGATGACCTGTACTTTTTACCATTTAGATTAATCTGAATAAATGATATATGTATTCCAGAACACAAACCAACGTTCTCCATGGAAACACTGATTTTGCCAATGAAAGGTCCTGTGCTTAATCTTTAAGTTCACTAATATTTTAAATTATTTAGCAAGGTCAAGATGGAAAATTAATTCCAAATAGCAAATTAAAATATACTTGTAGCCTTTAATAAATCTGAACCTTACAAGTCTTAAATATTACAGCAGAATGCTATTCTTAAGGCAAAAGGTATGATACAAGCTATTAATTAATCTAAAATTAAATATAAACAAAAGGAAAACAAGAATTTTTAAATTGAGTGTGGTCACTGTCTAGCAGTTGCTTTGCTACACACACATATCTGTGTGTACATGTATAAATATAAAGTGTGTACAAATCTGTTAAAATACGTTATTTCAGCAATAGCTTATCAATACAGAGCCCCAAATTGATTCCTGTCCCAAACCTCTCGGAGAGATGTCGATGTTCCCCATGAAACAACAACTTTTTTCTTTCATCCTCCTTTGTTTTCCCCATACTCTCCTCCCATCAGAGGAGGTTATCAATTCTTCTTTTCCCTTTCCTTTACCAGCTGATGCCCAGGCTGATGCCCAGGCTGTTCCATATCAGAACTTAGTAACGGGCAGGATGCTTACTTGTATGCTGTGGTCAGTCTTGGCTCTGGATGCCCAAAAGCCAGTATCTGTGTCTTCTGCATTTTTGGACACAGACAAAACTTGAGAGGCATGGCTCTCTAGGAAAGTATTAAAGATAAATTCAGCTTTGACATTTTGCCCAGGATCAGACATTTTCTTCCTTTTTTTTTTTTTTCTGAGAACACAACTAACTTCATTTAACTTGCCTAAGAATCTATTACAGGTTCTTCATTCTTCTCTTCAGGCTGATAAAATATGTGCAAATAAGAAGATGGAGAAAGGATGAATCCAACATGGTGAGTCAGATCTGCTCACAAATTTGAAGAACACTTCACAGCACACATAAAACATGCATTGGGTAGCCAAGGACACATATGCAAATACCTATTTAAATCTGAGCTATCACATCCATTTGCTTTTTTATTTGAAGAAAGTATTCTTGTCATCGATAGAAATGAAGGAAATCTGAGGGCAGGCATTTGGTACATCAGTTAATACTCTGCCTGGGGAGGCCTGGATTTGATTTCCAGCTCCTGTGTATTCTGGGAGGGGGCAGGTGACAACTGAAGTGTTTTCGTCCCTGCCCTCTAGACGAGACTCACACAGAGCCTCCAGGCTGCTGCTGCCAGCCTGGCCCAGCCTGGGCAGCTGTGGGCATCAGGAGAGTCAACCAGCAGATAAAAGGTCTCCCTTTGTCTGCCTTGTTTTCTTTCTCTATTTCTTTCAAGTAAATGAAAAAGAAATGACACTAAAAAAAAAAATCTAAACAGAACATCAAAAGGGAATTACAAGACATGTCTCTGTGGAGTTGAGAAAACTGAAACCCTTGCAGTTTTTTTGTAATACGCATCTTGCATGAAGATACCTTTCCTATAGGTACAAACTGAGACTCATACTGAAGTTACTTTGTCTTACCTGCTTTAGCAGCTTTCTATTGGTGCCCAGTTTGTGCTGCTCAATACTCTTTCTCACATACACTTTTTCCACAGGAGTCAGATCTTCTTTCATTAGTGCAAGTAATTCTTTTAATTGTTCATTTTCATTTTCTGAGCCAGCATGCAAGCTAAAGAAAATTGTATAAAATAATACACACCTCTTTATTACATTTTTCGTGTATAACAAAAAAAGCAAAATGCACATTTTCAAAGTTAACAAAGTATAAGAACAGGGTTTCTTTACTTCAAAAGACAAAGTCTGGATAATAGTGACATAAGATTATCACATTTGTCTGAACATTCTGTGAAATGATTAAAAGTCTTACCTGTAAGGCAAAATTGGCTTGGCAATCTTCCTAATACTCCCAACACGGACAAACTTTTCAAATCCAAGATCAAGAAGTCTTTAAAGACAATAAAAAATAGGTTCTGATGAGTTAGAGAACTGAATAGGAAACAAAGTTTCCCATAATATTTATGCCATTAAAGTTAATTTTATAAAACAGCATTTGGGGGTTATTCAACATGAAATACCAAAACACAAACTAAATGAAGTGCAATTTAAAGACTTCTTTTGTACTTACGTTATGTGTTTCAGAGAGAATCTTTAAACATTATTCTTAGAGTGAGGGCTCACTAAGTGTTCATAAAATAGTGACGCTAGCATTTATCATTAATAAAAATGTCAATAAGCATTGTTGGAGGCATTAAGTAGAGAAAAGAAGCGGAAGGCTCATCTTCATCACATTCTAACCCTTTAGGCTTTTAGAAATTTTTTTTTAAAGATTCATTTTTTATTTTTATTGGGAAGGTAGATATACAGAGAGGAGAGACAGAGAGGAAGATCTTCTGTCTGATGATTCACTCCCCAAGTGAACGCAATGGTCGATGCTATGCTGGACCGAAGCCAGGAGCCTCTTCCGGGTCTCCCATGCGGGTGCAGGGTCCCAAAGCCTTGAGCCCTCCTCGACTGCTTTCCCAGGCCACAGGCAGGGAGCTGGATGGGAAGCGGGGCTGCTGGGATTAGAACCAGCGCCCATATGGGATCCCGGGCGTGCAAGGCGAGGACCTTAACCATTGCACCATTGCGCCGGGCCCGGCTTTTAAAATTTTCAATGACAGCATTCTCTGTGCATGGAATTCAATATCATGCAGTCCATCAGCATCTGTGTGAAGCCTTGGACATTTTGTTTAGCTATAATTAGAAGATAATTTAATGCAGGAAAAAAAAAGATTTTTCTTGGTAACCCTAGGATGCTGGTACTAAAATGGGCTTAACTATGCAAAGTAAAGGATCCAGGAAAGAATTACCAGAGAAACAATTAAAAACAAGATTCTAGGGCCCGGCGCAATGGCGCCATGGTTAAGGTCCTCACCTTGCACGCCCGGGATCCCATATGGGCGCCGGTTCTATCCCGGCAGCCCCACTTCCCTTCCAGCTCCCTGCCTGTGGCCCAGGAAAGCAGTCGAGGACGGCCCCATGCTTTGGTACTCTGCACCCATGTGGGAGACCTAGAAGAAGTTCCTGGATCCTGACTTCTGATCAGCATAGTATCGGCCGTTGCACTCACTTGGGGAGTGAATCATTAGACAGAAGATCTTCCTCTCTGTCTCTCCTCTCTGTATATCCGCCTTCCCAATAAAAATAATAAAATAAATCTTAAAAAAAACACAAGATTCTACATGAGGGAACAGCATTGTGAGGCAACAGGTAAAGCTGCCTCCTGAGACACTGGGATCCCATATGGAGGTTCATGTCCCACCTGCTCCACTTCCAATCTAGTTGCCAGCTAACACTCTGGGAAAAGCATGCAGGATGGCCCAAGTGTAGGTCCCTGCCATCCACATGGGAGATCTGGATGAAGCTCCTTGCTCCTGCCTTTAACTTGGCCCAGCTCCAGCCATTGCAGCCTGGGGGAGAGTGAGCCAGTGGACGGAAGATCTCCTACTGTATCTCCCCGTCTCTGTAACTCTGACTTTCAAGTAAATAAATAAATAAATCTAGTCCTTTATTCTTTGGGAATATAGACAACAGCTACAAGCAATTATCAAATGAAAAGATAACCGTTTCGGCTATGTGACATACTGAACTCTATTTTGGCAATAAGCCTTTGACTACAACAGAAATTACAAATGTTATAGAAAAAAATAAGAGAGAAAAAGAAAAACAAAGGGAGGAAGGAAGTATTATATTAGAATTCTAGGAACTACACTGAATCTGTTCCCTTTGTATTAATAATTCAATAACACACCAAAAAAATGGTTTAAAAAAACCCAGCAACAATTGTACAATCTTAAACATAGAAAGCCAAAACACACTCTCTGAGTATGAAAAAGTGAGATCAACTATTAAACACATTCTAGGTACAAGAAAGCCCTCAAACATCTAAAATGTTTAAATTGTGTAAAATAAAACTGCCCTCAAAACATAATTGTATAAAAAGCAACAGATATCATATACTTATGCTAAAAAGAGCCTAGTTATACATAGTATCTCATTTAAAAGTTACTATAGCTTTGGCCCAGAATTATTAGGTTTATTCTATTTACAAACTAACAATTAGCCTATTACTATTTCATAGATGGGTCAGAGACAAAGGCCTTCCATTTTTAGCTAACTAAGCAACAAAGTGCATTGACAGGGCCTGTGCCAGACTGCCTCTTTCAAAAATACCTAAAACTTTAACTACTCAAATACCTTTATCATACCTACCCAAGAAGTACTCTGTCAACAGCTACATTGGTAGAGGAAGAAATCAAAAGTTTCCATGGTCTTGCATTTCCAACTGTAGGAATTTCACTCTTTTCAAACAGCTGTACAAAGAACAAAACTACCACTGCCAGCAAATAACTCTTGCCTGCTCCAAAGACACCTAATTGTTTTAAAGGAAAGGGAGAAACAAAGACAATAGCAATTTTAAAGTTTCAGAAAGCTCAGTTTCAGGGCCACTGTGATGATTAATATTAGTTGTCAACTTGAAGAAGTTAATAAATACTCAGAAACCTAGAAAAGCATTATTTTGGAGTGTGTCAGTATTTGGGGTATTTCCAGAGAAGGTTAGCGTGCACTAAGTGAGCGATGAGTGATCCATTCAGTGTGAGTGGATCCCCAGTCAGCCAGGGCCTGAGGATAATAGATATAAAACGTGAGTTGAAATATCCCCTCTACCTTATCCTGCCACTATGAGAGCTGGGACACAACTGGCTCCTACCTTGGAATCAGAAGTCCAACCTCTCTTGCCTTTGGACTCCAGAATTTACACTTGTGACTCCTAAGATTCTGAGGCTTTGAGCTAGGATCCACGAGTTACACCACTGGCTCTAAGACCTTTGAACTTGAAGTGAACTGCTCTTCTACCATCTCTGTTTCTCTCTAACCTGCAGACAATTTGTTGTGGGACTTCTCAGTCTTCTAATTGCAAAAGCCAATTTCCTAATAAATCCCCTTCCATCTGCTACATACATATTCTATTGTTTATCTGTAGAGAAAACTATTACTTCTACCTACTTCCTTCTATTCATTTAATTAATTTACAAAAATTGAGTGTTCACTATATGAATAAAGGATAAAGATAAAATAACCAAAATATCCCTAACTTTAAAAGACCATAGTCTACTTAATTTATGTAAAGGATTATTGATAACTTAATATTATGAGTCACAGTGTTAGAAGGACAAACAAGAAGAATTTCTGCTTTGGTGGAAATGGGAATGCTTTCTAAAAGTAACAAAGCGCAGAACAAACTCACGCCATCTTTGTCTCTCAGATATCCGGACTGTTTACACAAAGGATCACTCTAGATAGAGGTGTGACTAAGTATGCAGCTGTTAAAAGAACCTGAACAATTTCTACATGGCCTACAGCAAACAGATCAGCAATGAAGTAACTAGGGACCATCACATGATTTCCTAAGAGTTCTGCTTGCTATTTCTCCAAGTCTAAATTTTATCTTAAAAAAGGCCATATCATTGAAGGATCTGGGGCAATGGGGTTCAGATTACGTTTTAGAAAGATTACTTGAGACAAAATATGGAGAAAGTTACAATTAAAGGCAAATCAATGAGAAAGTTACATGACATAATCATAATAATAATCCATATGAATTTACTGTTTGCCACGTGCCAGGCATTGCTGTAAATCCTTTACCTCTGTACACTCATCTAGCCCTCCAACCTAATCAGTAAATGTTGCTATTCCCATTTTACAGAAAAGGAAATCAAAGCCAAGATGTAAGCAATCTATCTAAAATCATACGGCTACTCTTGTTTATCTCCCTCCCTCTGTTGCTCCACCGTTCATAAGAAAGAACAGAAGAAGAAGAACGAGAAGAATCAGAGAGAATCACTTCATCTTGGGAGAAGGAATAATCAAGTATCTAGTTTGATCTGCAAGGTCAATATGATACAAACCATCAAAATATGGAAACACCCAAGATCTACTTTGCACCAAAGGCCTGTCCAAGAAAATGAGCTACAGAGGTAACAAAATCCAGACAGAATACTAACTGTGAAAAGGAAAAATTGGCACAGCACCGGGAGAGGTAAGAACAGGTCTATACTTCAGTAAGCTGGAGCAGGCACTACACTGGAAGGAGCTTCTGTGAATAACTCCACTTCCTGTTTTAGAAGCAGGATCCATTTTAGAGAGGGAAAGAAGGGACTGTGAGACTAACAATGGTTTATAATAGTACTGTGAGGCTGGGAGAACAAGCTGACTAGCACTCACACACTGCTCTGCTGAAGTCTACTATTAATGGAATACAATGTCTTGTAGATCATACTGAATGCTTCAATAATGAGAGTAAAATGCCATGCATTCATCAGATACTGTTAATTCTTCCTACAAGGGCATTGAATTCTACCATATTTTAACAGTTTAGTAAAGTGGATTCTGGGCTCACATTAAAAAAAAATCTCCTTAGAATTGTTCTGGATACCTGCGTATGAAATTACATAGGACCATAATAAGCTACAAAAGCTTACATAAAAGTATATTGACCAGAATTGCTTTTTTGCTTCTTACCATGTATGATTGTGATAGGAAGAGTATGACTCCTCACTTCCTTCACTTCTTCAAGAATTTCGTGGGAAGACATCATCTGAGCTATTTGAATTAGAGCTGTCGCTTGATCCTCATTTAATCTGTGTACCTGAATTAACTCATGAGCTAACTGCAACGTTGCTCCTTGGTTGAGTAATTCAAATTTTGTGTTGATATCTGCAAAGGCTGGTGGGATAAATCTTCTCTTATTAATTCTCTTGTTGCTGACTGTGGTTGATGGAGACCTAGTAATAATGCAGCAAATAAAATCAAAGAAAATTCTGAGATTTTTGAAATAAGTGACTCAGATCTCTTCATAACTTAGGCTTTATACAAATGCAGAAGGGCATTTTATTATAGGAACAAATGCCAGTGTAAAGAAGGCTGAAATAGAAATAGCATTTGTTCAAAATCTATTATGGGCTGGCACAATATTAAACATTTTATATATACATTGATGTAATATCCATAGTAATACTAGGAAAAATTGAAAATAGAGATAGTAATTTCTCAACCAAAACTAAACCATAATTAAGAAGTGGACCGGGGCCAAGGCTGTAGTATAGGATGCTAAGCTAGCAACTGCAGCGCTGGCACCCCACATGGGTGTCAGTTCAGGTCCCAGCTGCTCAACTTCGCCTTCAGCTAACTGTGGCCAATGGAAGACAGCTCAAATCCTTGCACCCCTGCACCCATGTGGGAGCATATGGATGAAGCTCCTGGCTCCTGGCTCTGGCTGGCTTATCACTGGTTACTGAGGTCATTTGAGGAGTGAATCTGTGACGGAAGATCTGTTTCTTTCCCTGCCTCTACCTTTTTCTCTGTAATTCTATCAAACAAAGTCAACATTTTTTTTAAAAAAAGTAGATTAAGAATAATCAACACCACCTTTATTTCAGGGAAAGTACAATAAATTACACTGTCTTATTTCCACTGGTTAAACCAATGTCAAGTTGGATAAACATATAATGGAATCAACTTATTTGAACTGTAATTTCACTATTCTGAAATATATAACATTCGAAATTGGAAAACACAGTTTTTTCTATCATTTATTATCCTCAATGCACTACTACTTCCCATGTTTAAAAAAAGGATTTGGTGTTTAAGAAATTAGAAATAAGATGCTGGTGTTGTGGCACAGCTGGCTAAGTGCAATGACAACATCCCATTTTAGAATGTTAGTTCCAACCCAGCTGCTCTACTGCTAACCCAGCTTTTCCTGCCACATGTGCCGGGGAAGGCAGCAGATGACAACTCAAGCACTGGGGCCCCTCCCACCCCGTGGCAGGGGAGCTCAGGAGGATTTCCTAGCTGCTGGCTTTGGCCTCGCCCAACCCTGGCTGCTGCACCATTTTGGAAGTAAATCAGCACATAGATATCTCTTTCTCTCTTTGGTATTTGGCTTTTCATAGAAATAAGTAATTTTTTAAAAAGAAATTAAAAGTAAGATATAGGCAATTTCAAGAATATAATTAGCATTAATAAATACAATGAATTTAAGATAAAATTTTCTATCAATGTTAAATATTATAAAGTATAAAAAGTCAAATGGATGAAATAATAAAGTCAACACTGAAATAATCATTTAAGAAATTATCTCTTGATAAACGAAAAAAAATTGAGGTAATGCTTGAGTCCAAACTATGATAAACAAAGGAATACAATTAATGTCATGATGAAAATTTTCCTTTCTTTTTTTTTAAGATTTATTTTTTATTTTTTTATTGGAAAGGCGGACATACAGAGGGGAGAGACAGAGAGGAAGATTTTCCGTCCGATGATTCACTCTCCAAGTGAGCGCATGGCCTATGCTATGCCAATCCGAAGCCAGGAGCCTCTTCCGGGTCTCCCACGCGGGTACAGGGTCCCAAAGCTTTGGGCCGTCCAAGACTGCTTTCCCAGGCCACAGGCAGGGAGCTGGATGGGAAGCGGGGCTGCCGGGATTAGAACCGGCACCCATATGGGATCCCGGGTGTGCAAGGCAAGGAGCTTAACCACTGCGCCACTGCGCCATGCCTGAAAATTTTCCTGTCTTAACTACTGATCTCATAGTCTAAAAAGATAATTATCTCATTACAAAATCTTTGCACTGTAATTACATATTCACATTCGCTTGCATACATAATAACTTACATTGTTAACAGGTACTGAGTTATAGGAAGAGTAGCTGGATTGAAGTAGTCCTGAATGTTTTTCAGAGTAGTCAGCTCAGTACTAGCATTACAAACCAGTAATGCATGGACCATAACTGTAGAAAGGATGCAGAAAATTCATTGAATGTAAGTACAACGGACCATAAAAATCCTGCCTCACATATCCATATGTTAGATCAGAAATCAACTAGTGAATTAGTCACATGACATGAACATATAAGTAAGTGCAGAGGTCTTCAAACTTCTAGCCATCAACTACTCTCCTACTTGCTCAACCATTTTATCGAAGAGTACCTGTAAGTTGTACAACTTAACTCAGATTTGAACTTTCAAATACAGGATGGCTTCCAGGAACCCCAGATGCCAAAATCTGTACTTAACTCCCTTGTATAAAGCAGCATAGCATTTGCTTATAACCAAAGTACATCTTTGCATACACTTTTAAATAACTCTAGATTACTTATAATACCAAAATACCATGTAAATAATGTATAAACAGGTATTACTCTGATTAGTTTAAGGAGCAATAATGAGGAAAAAGCTCTGTGTATGTTGAGTCAACGCAGTATCATTTTCTGACTATTTTTCATTAGGAAACAGATGCAGAACCCATGGGTGTGGAACACAACTCTCACCATCAAAGGAATAAGAACAACATTTTTGAGAAAATGCACAGTATCTTCCTTTACTCAGCATAGCATTTGTGCTGCATAATGGTACTTGGGTAATTTTCATTTTCTTGTATTTTAAAAATTATTTTAATAGAAGTATTAGCAAAATTACAAAGAAAATATTGGTGACAGAATATGAAAGGATTCACATAAAAAATGACAAATGACAAGCCTGTGGAGCTTTCTGCTATGGCATATAAAGTTGCCATCTGCTATGCTGGCATCCCATATTAGTGCCAGTTCAAGTCCTGCCTACTCACTCCACTTCTGATCCAGCTCCCTGCTATGCACTTGGGAAGGCAGCAGAGGGCAGCACGAGTGTTTGTGGGAGACCCTGAGGTTCTGGGCTCTTGGCTGTGGCCTGATCAGCCCTAGGTCACTGCGGCCTTTGGGGAAGGAGCCAACAGATGAAGATCTCTCCCTTTCTCTCTCCCTCTCCACCTCTGTATAACTGCATTAGAAACAAATAAATAAGTGTTTTAATATATATAGTGACAAATATTTACTGAATTAGGCTCTTATTGGACTTGTAAGATTGGTTGATCCATTATATTCAGCTAAGAAAGAAAGAAAACTTAAAAAGTAAAAACATGCAAAAATGCTGTAAGTGTCATGAAATATTAACACCCAATGCTTAGTTAGGTATGGATTAAATTTAATCATCAAATTAATCCCAGAGATTAAAACAAACAGGGAAATTTATAGACTCACAGAAGTAAAAGAAATTCAGCTTACTAAAGTTTTTTTTTTAATTAAACGAAAAACATGGGGCCCGGCGCAGTAGCCTAGTGGCTAAAGTCCTCACCCTGAACGCGCCAGGATCCCATATAGAGGCCTAGCACTGGCAGAGTATATCAGTGAGTCAGTGGAGAGAAGATCAGATCTTCCTCTCTGTCTCTGTTCCTCTCTGTATATCTGATTTTGCAATAAAAATAAATAAATCTTTAAAAAAAATAAAAAGCACCGTGTTTAAAAAAAAAAAGAAAAATAGGGACGAATGTGGTGGCCTTGCACTACGCCTTGCACATGCGGGGATCCCATATGGGCGCCGGTTCTAATCCCAGCAGCCCTACTTCCCATCCAGCTCCCTGCTTGTGGCCCGGGAAAGCAATTAAGTATGGCCCAAGGCTTTTGGACCCTCACGGGCATGGGACACCCAGAGGAGACTCAAGGCTCCTTGCTTTGCATTGGCTCATCTTTGACCACTGTGGCCACTTGGGGAGTGAAACAGTGGACGGAAGATCTTCCTGTCTCTCCTCCTCTCAGTATATCTGACTTTACAATAAAAATACATAAATCTTAAAATAAAAAAAGGAAAAAGCTGTTATTGTCTAACTAAGAATTTCTTAAGACAGATGATAAGGTATCAAAAATCATACTAGGTCTGCTCAACCTTAAAAAGTCTTTAAGACCTTCTTAATGTGAATGTAAACTGCCTAATAAACATACAACAAATTAAGAGAAACAGAACTGGATATAAGAAACTTTGAGAAAATTCTCATTTTATGTCTATACTGTATTAGACATAATATAGTAATAATATTTAAAACATAATATAAAATATATAAATCTAACAAATGTTTATATTTTAAAAAATCAGATACATAATGTATAAAATTCAATTTTAACAAAAACATACGCGGTAGTTCACGATTTCATTACACTGTCAGTCTCAGGGACCTGAATTCCTGCTGGGTTTAATCCAATAATCTCACACACAGAATTCTTGCTGAAAATGCATCCCAATGTAAATACAAATTAAAATGGACGTGATAATACTTACTGTTAGTGGGCCAATTAGAAGGGAAATAGCCTTTCAAAGGCAACAGCTCAACTTCCTTGAGAGATGATGGTCCAAAAAAAGCACTACACGCAATGAAAGTATCCTGCTCAAAGTCTAGGGTTTTGGAAACTACCCAAAGATCATCTACAAAGACAAAATTTTTTTCCAGCTTTATTGAGGTATGAGTGACCGAAAAAAAAAAAGCATATTTATGAGTAAGGTATAAAGCATGGTGCTTTTTAAACATAGATTTATTCACAGTTATGATGAAACTATTACACTTAGCAATCAACAGCATGGGTTAAAAAAAAACCACTAAAAATCCATTAGACTGCTACATACCTTCCACAGAGCAGAAACTAAAATAATCTGTTATATAATAGGTCACAAATAGTCTCAAATTTTTTTACCCAGATACGAAGATTAACTAAAGCAAATCTTTTTAGCACCACTGTGCTTGACCGAATTTAAAAATCTGTTGTAATCTGTAGTTTCCCTGTCACTCAACTGGCGTTCCTCACCTACCAAATTTTATTCCCTGGCAGTTACAAAGCCTTCCTGCTTCTGCTGCTGCTAGCTAGCACAGTCTTAGTGACCATGCTTTCATTCAAGCAAAATACTGGCTCCACTACCACACAGGCCAGAACTTGGGCTTCCACTTGTCTCCTTTCATGGGTCCTAAATTTCAAGCCTGTTACAATTGCTAAAATCACTGTACCTTCGACCTCTGAAGCTGCCTCCCAACATTAATGAATCTACTGCACCCATCTCTACTGCCACTGTAACCACCACTCTCTTAATCACCATCAAAGCCACCATAACCACTGATGTTTCCTTTACAACCAAAGTTGTCATGGGCGCCAAAAGAATCTCCCGTGCAATCATCACAGAAATTTCCAGAACCACGGTGGACTCTTAGGGTGCAATGCTTCAACAGGGCTTTCTTCAACCCAGAGTTGTGACTTTTATAGGATGTCAGTCTCAACCACGGACTTGTGGCAGTCAAGAGGAACAAAAGCAAAACCTCCCTCTGCCATTGCCTCGGTCATGAGCTCAACCACTTTGACTTTCCCATACTGATTAAAATAAGCTGAGGTCTTGCTTTCAGTAAGCTTTTTAAAAAATCTTTTAAATTTTTATATTGTTTCATTTCCTTGGAAGGTAGAGAGAGAAAGAGATAGGAGACAGTGATGCAGGGAGAAAGGGGAGCAGGGAGGGAGAGAGAGAGAGAGAGAAATTGATCTTCCATTAGCTGCTTCATTTTCCAATGGCTACAATGGCAAGGGCTGGGCCAGGCCAAAGCAAGTATCCTAAAACTCTATTCTGGCCTCAAACATAGTTGGCTGAAATCAAAGGACGTGGGCCATCTTCAATTGCTTTCTCAGGCACATTAGCAGGGAGTTGGATCAGAAGTGCAGCAGTCAGGAATCAAACCAACACCCATATGGGATGCCAGCACTGCAGGCAGAAACTCAACCTTCCCTGCCATGCCCCATTGGTATTCTTGGAATCATGGGGTTTTTTTTTAAGTCTTAAAAATATTTTTAAAGCCTTTTAGAAAACATCTAATTTATTCTATAATAATTTACAATATATAGTAATATTAAACCATATTTTAAAAAATTCTATTTGAGGCCAATATTGTGGTATAGTGGGTTAAGCTGTAGCCTATAAAACCAGCATCCCATAAAAGTATTGATTCAACTCCCAGCTGCTACATTTCTAATCCAGTTCCTTGCTCATGTGTCTGGGAAACAAAAGGAGATTGCCCTTGGGCCCCTGTATCTACATGGAACACCCAGATGGAATTCAGGGCTCCTGGCTTCAGTGTGCCCCAGCCCTGTCCACTGTGGCTGCTTGGGGAATGAACAAGCAAATGGAAGATTTCTGTACATCTCTCCTCTTTCTCCTTCTCTTTCCACAACTCTGCCTTCAAAATAAATTAATGAATCTTTAAAAATAAAAATGAAAATTTTCTTTACTATAAACAATCTAGAGGTAAATGAAACAGAACTAAGCTTTTACCAACATGATCAGCTCAACTTACCTTTGCTATACACTGAAGAACTTTCTTTCCTACTCAGCTTAAGATAAAGTCTGCTTTTTGATTCATTATAAAAGTCAGGATTTATTGTAGTAAACTTTTTTAGTTTCCCATGCTTTCTCTCAAAATCAAATCCTTTTCTGAAGAAAGAATAAAAATTAATTAGAATAGTTAGGTACAATTTTACTAAATCTTTAAAAAAACATCTTTATGTTTTAAATCTTTAAAGCATATTCTGTCAAAACGAAAAAATAAATTTCACGTACTGTCATCAATTTCAAAAAAGCCAACAAAACTATCTAAAAACCAGGGCACCTCAGTTTCTGTAACAATAAAAAGAGAATAGTAGTTTTCATTATCTCCATTTCTTTAAAATTGTGATTATATTTTATTACTTACTTACTAGTTTTTGAAACATTTTATTTATTTGAAACACACAGCAAGAGAGAGACAGAAAGGGAGAGAGAAAATCTATCCAGTGGCTTACTCTCCATAATGGCTAAGGCTGGGCCAGAGCAAAGTCAAGACCGAGCAACTTCACCCAGGTCTCCCATGAGTGCAGGAGCCCAAGCACTTCAGCTACCTTCTGCTGCTTTCCCCAGCACATCAACAGGACACTGGATAGAAAATGGAACAGTTGCGACTTGAACAAGTGCTCACATGAAAAGCAGTACCTTAACTTGCTGCCTCACAACACCAATCCCTGTTGTGTGATTTAATGAAACAGAACATGCCAAATGCTGTGAAGAGAGCCTAATGTCAATAACCTCCCAATAAATTTTAATTAAACTACCACACAAATGACCATTATATTTAGTACTTGAGTAATCACATTCATTTTTATCGGGAATTTAGATTTACAGAGAGAAGGAGAGACAACTAGAGATACAGAGAGAACTTCTACATTGGTTCACTTTTTAAATGGCTGCTAACAGTCAGAACTGAGTCAATCCGGTGGTCAGGAGCCTCGTGCCCCATGGGGAGTGTAGGGTCCCAAGGACTTGAGCCACCTTTCCCTGCTTCCCCAGGCACAATAGCAACGAGCTGGATTGGAAGTGGATCAGCCAGAATACAAGCCAACACCCATATGGGATGCCAGTGCCACTGGCAAAGGCTTAGCCTTCTATGCCTTAGCACCAGCCCCTGAGTAATCATATCTTTGTAAGACATATTTCCAAAACAGCACAACTATATTTTATAAGCTATATATTCCAGACTTGCAAATAACTACTTATCTATTATCCTTACAGCTAAGTTATTTCTGAAGCCTTTTTGTTAGGGTTTCCCTTAGGATTGTGAAAAAATAGCACAGACTACACATAAAAATGGTTGCCAGAAACAGTATTCTGGAATTGCTGACACTGACATTTAGAAGAGGCCAACTATAACTTGAAAGACCAATTTTTCAGACAGAAACTAAAGTACTCTTAAGACATTTTTCCTAACAAAACCTCCTTTAAAATTGATTATAGGGCCCGGTGGCGTGGCCTAGTGGCTAAAGTCCTCGTCTTGAACACCCCGGGGATCCCATATGGGTGCCAGTTCTAATCCCAGCAGCTCCGCTTCCCATCCAGCTCCCTGCTTGTGGCCTGGGAAAGCAGTCAAGGACGGCCCAAAGCTTTGGGACCCTGCGCCCATGTGGGAGACATGGAAGAAGTTCCTGGATCCTGGCTTCGCATTGGCATAGCATCGGCTGTTGCGCTCACTTGGGGAGTGAATCATTGGACGGAAGATCTTCCTCTCTGTTTCTCCTCCTCTCTGTATATCTGACTTTCCAATAAATAAATAAATCTTTAAAAAAAAATGATTACAATTGAGCGAGTTGCTAGCCTTATAAAATTACACTTAGTAACATTAAACATACCTCACTAAAAGCTGGCATTCCTCATACAGCGGAATCTTTTGACTTCTTAAGAATACACCAATACTCTTAATATCCCTTAAAACCAAGCTAGATTTAGATTTTTCCTGCGTTGAAACTCCTGGATCCACTTCCTCAAGCCACTTGAAAAATTTACATTGATTAGCTTTGGGCCCATCACATGTGTAAAAGAGACGACCCTAAGAGAAAACAGTCAAAATTAAATGAGAAAAATATTTTTGTAGGCCTGGCATGATGGCTCAGTGCATAAAATCCTTACCTTGCAAGTGCCAGGATCCTTACGGACGCTGGTTCATGTCCTGGCTACTCCACTTCCCATCCATCTCCCTACTTGTGGCCTGGTAAATCAATAGATGATGGGCCAAAGTCTTGGGACCATGGACCCCATGTGGGAGACCTCAAAGAAACTTCTGGTTTCAGATCAGTTCAGCTCTGGCTGTTCCAGCCACTGGGGAGTGAACCAGCAGATAGAAGATCTTTCTCTCTTTCTCATTCTTTACATAAATCTTCCTTTCCAATAATAATAATAATAATAATAATAATAATAACTTTTTTGCTTTTCTATTGTTTTGTGTTATGCTTTTCAAGAATTTTTAAAAAGGCTTATTTATTTGAAAGGCAAAATTACAGAGAAAGAAAGAGGTATCTTCCACATACTGGTTCCCTCCCCAAATGGCTGTAATAACTGGAGCTAGCAGGGTCTAAATCCAGGAGCCAGGAGTTCCTTGAATCTTCCACATGGTACAGAGCCCAAAGATTTGGACCCTCCATTGCTGCTTTTCTACACACATTTGCAGGGAGCTGGACCAGAAGTGGAGCAGTTGGGACTTCAACCAGCACCCATATGGGATGTCAGCATCCCAAGCAGAAACCGTACCCACAATGCCATAGTGTTAGCCCCTTTTCAATACTTTCTTGATGACTGTTTGGTAGTAATGTACTCAAGTAAACTGTCATTACATCATATTATGCTGAGAATGAAAGCTTACTTGAACATTAACAACAAATTCAAGATTCTTTTCATGCCAAATGATCATTATAAACTATTTGAAAAGTACTGACACAACTATAACATCTTACAAATTTCATTTTACCTTTTCCCTCACATGTAACGTACATTCAAATACATACACACAAGAATATAAACAGAATTTTATAACAAAACTTAGATAACAATACATTTCTGCAACTGAACTCTTATATCCAACATGAGTATTTTTTCACATTCATCAAATTATTTTAAAAAGCAGAGACTTCTGTGACTACAAAAGATCTTATTATGATTATACTATTATTTAATTCTTGCTTTACAAAAATTTATTTTTATCTTTAACTGCTACATAAAAAACTGTATAAACTTAGGGATACCACATGATGCCCCCATACATGTATATTAGTGTGGAATATCCTATCAAGGTAAACATATCTGTCTCCTAAATCTTCAATATTTCATGATAAAAATATACTTCTTTTTAGGGTTTTAATTTTAAAAGAAAAATACATAGCATATTATTATCTCTGGTCCTTCTGCTGTCCCATAGAACACCAAGAGTTCTTAATCTTATCTATAACTCAGTTTTTCCTTTTTCCTCAATATTTTCCTTTCCTTTTCACTCCTCCATTTTACCCAACAATTAAATTTAAAATTTACACACTCAACTTATGATGAAGTGGGATGTACAAACACAAGAGAAAAACTGTATTACTATGAACAAAAACATAGTGTTACAAATAAGCAAAAGCCATCCATCAGCAAAAGTTTAACAATCTGACTTCCTCCAAAATATATTACCATCAACAAGTTTAGAATTTCTCTTTTTATAAGTCTACTAGGTTTTCCAGTTACTAGTACTATAATTTACTTAGTAGCCTAGCTTCTACCTTTTCCTTAAGGCACATTTCTGCATCTTCTAAGTCCTTAAGTTGGAATTTATTCCCTAAGTGTTCTCAGTTTGTGCACATCCCTCCTGTTTTATCAATGACTGCAATGCATTACAAATATTGCTTGTGTTATCCTCTGCTTACTACCATTCAGTAAATTCCTAGGAAGCTGAAGGTTAATTTTTTTTTCCCCTTACTTCTTTAATAAATAAAGACAGAGACACAAAGAGCTCCCACCAATGGTTCCCTTCCCAAAACCCTGCAAAGGTCAGGGCCTGGCCACATGTTAACCAGGAGCCAGGAACTCCATCCAGGTGGCAAGAATCTAATCACCTGAGCCCTCATCTGCTACCCACTAGGGTATCATATTAGAGGAAGCTGGAAGCAGGAATGAAGCTGGGACTTGCACTCCGAATAGGGAACCATGCAGGCTTTTTAGCTACCAGGCCAAATGCTGCCTGTCCCTTGAAGATTGATTTTAAATCATGATTTTGTATCTTAGAACATATGTTGTTTTTATAATAATATATGGAGAATTTGCCATTTATTTTTCATGCTATATATCATTCACTCTTTAAACTTGTCACGAGGGACCAGCGGCATGACCTAGCGGCCAAAGTCCTCGCCTTGACACGCCCAGATCCCATATGGGCGCCAGTTCATGTCCCTACTGTCCTGCTTCCCATCCAGTGCCCTGCTTGTGGCCTAGGAAAGCAGTCGAGGATGGCCCAATGCTCTGGGATCCTGCACCTGTGTGGGAGACCTGGAGGAGGTTCCTGGCTCCTGGCTTCAGATTGGCACAGCACCGGCTGTTGCACTCACTTGGGGAGTGAATCATCAGATGGAAGATCTTCCTCTCTATCTCTCCTCCCCTGTATATCTGACTTTGTAATAAAAATAAATAAATCTGTAAAAAAAAATTGTCACAAAGCAATAAAATATTTTTATAAGACAAATATTTTGTATGATTAGGGAAGGAAGTAGAAACTATACCTTATTTGGACCTTCCTTTTTTACCATAACAAGTTTTGCAGGTTGATTATGATGGCAGGAGGGTATATTATTATCCAAATTTTTCAGTTTCTCTCCTTTTGATGATGTATAAAATGATATGTCAACTTTTGAAAGAGCCTTGTGCAACCTGTATGCCATCTCAAAAAGCAATATATTTAAATGTTCTACAAAAAAAAGATACAGTTAAAATTAAACACAGAATAATTTCATGTTTATATCATAAATGTGTTGTTTATCAATCAAACTTTAAAACAGTTTTAACCAAGTCAACAATTACATATAATTGTTTTTTCTTTTAAGGATTTATGTATTTCTTTTGTTGGAAAGTCAGTTTCACAGAGAGGAGAGAAAGAGAGAAAGATTTTCCATTCACTGGTTCACTCCCCAAGTGGCCACAACGGCCAGAGCTGAACCAATCTGACACCAGAAGCCAGAAGCTTCATCCAGGTCTTCCACACAGCTGCAGGGTCCTAAGGCTTTGGGCTGTACTAGACTGTTTTTCCAGGCCATAAGCAGGGAGTTCAATGGGAAATAGAGCCACTGGGATATGAACCAGTGCCCATATGGGATCCCAGGCTTGCAGGGTAAGGACTTTACCATGTTGGGGCCCACATATAATTTTTTTAAAGATTTATTTTTATTTTTTTATTGGAAAGGCAGATATACAGAGAGGAGAGACAGAGAGGAAGATCTTCCGTCCAATGATTCACTCCCCAAGTGAGCACAACGGCTGATGCTATGCCGATCAGAAACCAGAAGCCTCTTCCGGGTCTCCCACGTGGGTGTAGGGTCCCAAAGCACTGGGCCATCCTCGACTGCTCTCCCAGGCCACAAGCAGGGAACTGGATGGGAAGTGGGGCTGCTGGGATTAGAGCCGGCGCCCATATGGGATCCCGGGCATGCAATGCGAGGACCTTAACCACTGCGCCACTGCGCCGGGCCCACACATATAATTTTTTTAAAGGCAAGTTTTAACCTTACATTTCAAACTCTTCAGACCTAACCATGTAGCACACTTAAAATTTTCCACTAAAACATATATATATATTTAAAATATATATAAATATATATAAGTATATATATAATATATGTAAATATATAAATAAAAATATATATTCTAAATATATATTTTAAAATATTTTAAAAATATATATATAATTTTTTAAAAATCCATTTACTGTATTTATTTGAAAGAGAAGGATTTTCTATCTCTGGAAGATCTGCTGGCTTATCCCTCAATGCCTGCAACTGTTTGGGCTGAAGCAGGCTGCAGCGTAGAGGTCAGATTCAATCCCAGTCTCCCACATGAGCAGGCAACCAACCCCAAGAGCCAGCACCACCATTCGAACTTGCAAGAACCTGGAATCAGATGCAGAGTCACGCACTCTAACATGAGATGCAGATATCCCAAGCAAACTGTAATATGGAAGATTTTCTTACTAATTCCTGCTTTCAAAAAATATTTATGTATTTATTTTGAAAGTCAGAATTATACAGAAGGGAAGAGAAAAAGAGAGAGAGAAAGAGAGTTTCCACCTTGGGTTCACTCCTCAGATGGCCACAATGACCAAAGATGGGCCAGGACTAAAAGAGAAGCCAGTCTGACAAGGGCCCAAACACTTAAGCCAATCTCCACTGCTCTTTCCAGCCCATTGGCAGGGAGCTGGTATACCACAACACCAGAGCCATTTTACATTTTTAAAATTCGATTTTGGTCTAAAATTTGGTCTAAAATAAAAGTTCCTACCACAAGCTGGAGTATACACACAGAAACTAATAAACCTCAAATTGCAGAATTCAATATGAACAATCTTAAGACATTATACTTTTCCCACAGTTGCATTACTTATATTAAGCATCAGTCAATCACAACAAAATGAGTCATACCTATGATAGAAGAGGTAAAAATCTGCTTATAATGAGCAGGAGACTGAAAAACAGCTGGTATGTGGATTTTCCTTTGGGGAAGATAAGCTGATTTTATCTTCTGCCCACTTGGGAAACACAGCTCAGAGTCATTTATCTCCTGAAACAGAATAATTCCTGTTAGTACAACTCCACACACTGCTCACTAATAAGCAAATTATTTCTCACAAGTGTTTAAGAAAGCCTATTTGTTTTGATTTCTAAAAGTTCTTAAAATTTTCTAATTTTAAATGGCAAACCAAGAATAACAAGAATAGTTATGTATAGCACCTTTTTCTAGATATTTTAGCTTTCTTGTCCTTGAACAGATATTTTATTATTTACAAGCAAAAATTTAATTGATTTGATTACAATCAGCAATAAGCTGCCATTTAGGATGCTCACATCCCATATTGTAGTGCTTGCTTTAAGTTCTGAATACCCTATTTCCAATTTAGTGTCCTGAAAATGGGCCTGGTAGGCCACAGTTACAGCCAAGTAATTAAGTTCCTTCCTACCACCCAGATGGAATTTCTGGATCCTAGCTTTGGTCTGGCTCAACACCAACTGTTGGAAGCTCTGGGGGAGTGAACCAGAGGATGGAAGATATCTCAGATCTCCACAACACCCCTGTCCTTATTTTCTACCTCCCCCTCTATCCCTCTCTTCCTTTCACATAAATAATTTTTTTAAAAATCACAACCAATGTGTGACAGATGTACTTTTACCCTAATAATGATCTGCTCAGCAAAACTGAGCTGACAGTCAAAAATAAAAACAATTACAGTTACAGAATATTGGAAGTAGCAATGGAAACAGAAAAATCACAAGTTAGCAAGCTTCTATTTCAGCCAGACACTGCACAATATACTCTGAAATATTTATGTTAACTTGATTTAATGTTCAAAGTTGTCAATAAAGATTTGTAACTCAAAGGTGACAACGTAACTACAGCTAGAGTTCTTTTTTTTTTTTTTAAAGATTTAGTTTTATTATTTTTTCATTGGAAAGGCGGATATACAGAGATGAGAGATAGAGAGGAAGATCTTCCGTCCGATGATTCACTCCCCAAGTGAGCGCAACAGGCCGATACTATGCCAGTCCGAAGCCAGGAGACTCTTCCGGGTCTCCCACACAGGTGCAGGGTCCCAAAGCCTTGGGCCGTCCTCGACTGCCTTCCCAGGCCACAGGCAGGGAGCTGGAAGGGAAGCGGGGCTGCCGGGATTAGAACCGGCGCCCATATGGGATCCCGGGCGTGCGAGGCGAGGACCTTTAACCACTTGCGCCACCGCGCCGGGCCCAGCTAGAGTTCTGATAGTCTTAACCACTGCGCCACCACGCCAGGCCCCTGATAGTCGTAAAAAGGGCTATTTACTCCAAGAATAAATTTGCCCCATAAGTAATTTTGGTACTTTTTTGTTGTTGAAATTCAGACAGTAAGTATTTGAGAAAAATGCACCAAAAGACTGCTATAATTCCTCACCTGAAACTCTTTTACACTGTTGTTGAAGCAGGCAGACCCTCCTAACATTTTTTGAATTTTCTCAGTCCTGGAAGCTTGCTTTAAATTCAAAGAAAGTGCTGTCTTTCTGGAAACCAAATCTCGGCTGCTAACATCCTGCTGCTCCTGATAGAGCATGCTTTTCATCATTTGCAAATGCACAGAGTCTAATGAGATGTCATTCACAGCATCACTCTGCATTTCATCTGTGCCACTAAAATGCAGCCCAGAACCCGTCTCAGCAAAGAAGCCATCTGTTACTTTCTGATCCACTCTCTCTGGAATAGTCAAGTTGTACTGGGATATGTTCTGATATTTCAGCCATTTACTCTGAGTAAGTTTATTATCAAGAAGTAAAACATCCCATGGAGTCATTTCCCTAGATTCTTCAGAGAAAGAAATTTCACTTTTGTCACCAAACCCGAAGCTACAAGGAACTGCTGACTCTTCACATGAATCGAAAAAGGGAGAAACAGAAGATTCTTGTGTGTCGCAGTCAGGTACATAGGGAAAAGCATCTGATTCAGGTGGCCCATCAGCAGGTGGCAAAGTGATAAGTGGAACTCGAGTTCTACTTACTAATGGGAGCCTTTGAGTATTCACAGTTTGCAGAGGACTGGCCTTTTTCATTCCTAAAGCAGACAAAATACTGATAAAAATAATGTACTGATGATTTCATTACCTGAACTTTAGAAAAAATAAGTACACACTCTCCCCTACAGATAATACATAGCTTCATCTCCTTTTTGAAAAAAATAATAATAACAATGGTTTACTCTCAACAGGTAAAAGCACTGAAATTCTTTTAAGGTCAACTAATTTGTAGTCATTTTTAAGAATCTTTTCTCTTAAGTGCCACACACACACACACGACATTTAAGTTTGCAAAGCATTTAGTTTGTTTTTTAAAAATATTTATTTATTGGAAAGGCAAAGTTACAGAAAAGAGGGAGACAGACAGTTCTTCCTGATGGAGCAAAGATACAAGTCTGACTCCTCCATTAGATTTCCCAAGCACAGTCTCCCCACTCCCTTTGCATACTTTTCAACAGACCTTTTGCATCTGGCAGCCATTTCATAAGATGCCCCTAACCTTCTTGCATTTCCTTCTGCTTTCTCAGGGGGCAAAACCTATCATGTTTGAAAGTGCAATCAAAAAGCCATTGCAGCCCTCATACATTTCCCTATCTCTCTGCCTTTCCCCAATCCTCAAAAACATTCCACAACCCTAGGACTATGAAAAGTCTGGCCTGTTTAGGAACTGAGGCTTCTATTACCTGCTTTTTCTGTCCTCATGTTGTAGCTGGTCTCCTCTTTGGATTTATCTCTGACAGTAAATCCAATTTGGCTCTGAGTCCACCTCCTGTCTTATTGCTCTGTGATTCTTTCCTGACACTTGCATCCACTATTTCTCTCCCAAATGGTTACAACAGACAAGGCAGGGCCAGGGTAAAGCCAGGAGTCAGGAATTCTACCCAAGTCTCCCCCATGAGTGGCAGGGAATGCCTTCCCAGGGGCATTAACAGGGATGTGGATCAGAAGGAGAGCAGCCAGCACTTGAACAGCGGCTCATAGAGAATGTCCTCATTACAGACAGTGTCTTAACATACTGCACCATAACGTCAGCCCCTCAAAGTACTTTACCAGCCGAAAAAAAAAAAAAAGTATGTATCATTCTCATTTTCAGGTGAGACTACAAAGGTATCATATCTACCCACTGGCAGAGTCAAAATAAGATCTTCAGAACCTTTCTGGATTTGGAATATAAACCTTTGAATAATATCCCTTCAACAGAGACTGAAGTGCATGGTTCACTTACATAACAATATGATTGTGTCTTCCCTTATATATTTATCACACTGATGAAATATTTTGTTCCCTTTAGAGTAAGGAGGCCTTTAGCTTGGTATGTGATAAGAGATTATGTTAAGATCAAGCAAAGGCATTTATGAGATTTTCACATTCCTTTCCCCTGGTAAAAGAAAGGGCTAATAGGAGTTGTGCTATAAGGTGACAGCTGTAAAATATATTGATAATGGTAGAAGACACAGAGGTCAGAGATGAGAAAGCTGAGGGGAGAAATAAGAAGGAACTACAAGGGAGTATTATACTTGCAACAGATATCTATAGCAGAAAATCAAAAAGGAAGGAATGGTATGAAAAGACCTCAAGAGTTATGACACTGATTAACATATTTAAAAACATCATTTTATTTGGACAGATATTAACGCAATCTGGTCACCAGGAAAAGTTCTTGCTTTCAAGGATTCCTTAGAGAATTCTAGCATGAAGTCTTCATCTCTTGTGTTCCGAGAGAAAGTAGAGACAGGGCTCAATGTGTGTTCTGATGATGTCACCTGTCCAGAAACAAACAAAACTACAGTCTGTAATCTTATTATTATTACCCTATTGTCTGAATGAATTCTAGCAATCAATGTTACAAAAATTACAATTGAAACAACATCTTATAAAGCTACGATGGGAACAAAGAACTACAATAAATCTTCTTCCAAAAAGAACAGCATAAAATAAATTCTGTATATCCGTCTTTCCAATAAAAAAAATAATAAAAATAAATCTTTAAAAAATAATAATAAATTCCTTAGTGCCCAGCCTAATTGTGCCTTGGGAAGGCAGTCAAGGACAGCCCAAAACCTTGGGACCCTGCACCTATGTGGGAGACCCAGAAGAGGTTCCAGGCTCCTGGTTTCAGACAGGCTCAGCACAGGCCATTGCGGTTACTTGAGGAGTGAATCCTCAGATGGAAGATCTTCCTTTCTGTCATTCCTTCTCTCTGTACATCTGACTTTCAAATAAAAATAAATAAATCTGTAAAAAGAGATGAGAAAAAAAATAAATTCTTAAAAAATCAGCAAGAAAAATGGAAAGTAAACTACAGAGCGTACAGTCTTGACTTATTTGAAGGTTCTGTTTCTTAGACTGATCAGGTTACAGACTTGGCTCTGAAGATCAATTTCTAGTCTAAGAGGCTCAGGTGAAATCAGACTTCACATATAAAACTGAGAAGATTTAAATGCCACATACTCAAATACTGATTAGTTTTCTCTTACAGGGCTTACCTTCAAGATGTTCTAACAATCATTTGGATAATCATTCTTTTTAAATTATTAATTATTATTATTGCTTCTCGGCCTTTGGCTAAGATCAAGTGTGGTAAATTACTAATTATTAGACCAGAAGCTGAAGTTTTTATCTGCAATAACTATGATAACAGATGCTGGTTAAGTGATCACACAGTATCAATGTGAGCACACAGGTTATAGTCGACCTCATTGATCCCATTTGTGAGAACTAAATTTTGAAATAATTTTCTAATGTTTATTTGCACATATGGGCCTTTAAAAATGGAATCATATATTTAGTTATGCATTCTCAACTGCAAAAAAAGATATTCTTCCCAGAGCAAACTGCTAGAACATTATCTCGAAACTGAACAGTCATGTAACTTGCTATTCATCTCATTAGAATAGCATTTAATTTTGATGCCAATTCCTCTAGAAATTTAATTATCTTAAAATCTAATATATCCTTAATATATGTACACATACTGTATACATGTATTATATTTATATTTGTATGTTTGTATGTCTATATGCATATATATGTATTTGCCATTTGTGCATATACATATAATATATGTGTTTATATTCATATATATTTGTATATCTATGCATACATGTATATTTGATATTTGTGTACATACATATAATGCATATATACATATGATGACATCTGTGTATATGCATATATATACACATACATACATATGCATTTTATATATGTAATTTGTAAAAGCATAGAAAACAATAATAAAAGTTCGAAGGATTTCACCAAACAAAAATGTGTTTTTAATGGGAGTAGGATAAGGAAAGGGCTCTCTCACAACTTCATATTGGTCTTAATAGTTTGAACTTCTTAAAATGAGTATACTGGTATATACACGACAATAAGGATTAAAGGTTTCAAGGTGGGCATTTTGCATAGCAGTTAAGATGCCACATGGAGGCCCAGCAGCGTGGCCTAGCGGCCAAAGTCTTCGCCTTGTGAACACCCCAGGGATCCCATATGGGCTCTGGTTCTAATCCCAGCAGCTCCACTTCCCATCCAGTTCCCTGTTTGTGGCCTGGGAAAGCAGTTGAGCACAGCCCAGTGCTTTGGGACCCTGTACCCACGTGGGAGACCCGAAAGAAATTCCTGGCTCCTGGCTTTGGATCGGTGCAGCACCAGCCATTGTGGCTCACTTGGGGAGTGAATCATTGGACGGAAGATCTTCCCCCTCTGTCTCTCCTCCTCTCTGTATATCTGACTTTGTAATAAAAAACAAATAAATCTAAAACAAAAAAGAAGATGCCACATGGTACAACTGCATCCCAGATTGGAAATGCCTGGGTCCAAATCCCACTGTTCCACTCTCAATTCCAGCTTCCCACTTGGGGAGCAGCAAGTAATAGGTCCAATAGTTTGATTCCTGTCCTCTAAGTGGAAGACCAGGATGGCATTACTGACATTTGATTTCAGCCTATCCCAGCCTCACTGTTTCCAGAACTGGGGAGTAAATCAGTACATGTGCAATCTGCACGTATGTGTGTGTATATATGTATAAGATATCTATCCATGTGTGTAAGATAAAGAAATATTTTAAAAGCGTTTCTTTTTAAGATTTTTTTTTTTAATTGGAAAGACGGATATACAGAAAGGAGAGACAGAGGAAGATCTTCCATCCGATGATTCACTCCCCAAGTGGCTGCAACGGCTGCAGCTGAGCCAATTCGAAGCCAGGAGCTTCTTCCAGGTCTCCCACAAGATTGCAGGATCCCAAGGCTTTGGGCCGTCCTCGACTGCTTTCCCAGGCCACAAACAGGGAGCTGGATGGGAAATGGAGCTGCCAGGATTAGAATCAGCACCCATATGGGATTCCGATATGTGCAAGGCGAGGACCTTAACCACTGCACCATCGTGCCGGGCCCAATATTTTAAAATCTTAAAGTTTATAAATTCTTAAAAATTTTCTTGATTAGTGATAGTCTCCTGGTATTGTGCTAGGAAATAAGGATGTGACAATGAATATTTACAGTTACTTCACTTTAATGGTAGGTACAAATAAAAAGGGAATTATAATATGACCGTTAATAAAAGTTCTACTATATTATGTAGCTCTTACCATGTGCCACTATTTTTGTTTAAGCACTTCGTTTTAAAAATATTTGATTCTTTTGTGTTTAGATTTTTTGTAAGAGGTAGTAATTTTTATTGGTAAGTTAGAGTTACAGAGAGGAGAGAGAGAGAAAGATGTCTGCTCCCCACATGGCCACAACAGCCAGAGCTGTGTCAATCTGAATCCAGGAGCCTGGGACCTCTTCCAAGTCTCCTACACGGGTACAGGGTCCCAAACCTTTGGGCCGTCCTTGACTACTTTCCCAGGTCACTAGCAGGGAGCTGGATGGGAAGTGGAGCAGTGCCAGTGCTCCACAAAGCAGACAAATCGGTGCCCATATCAGATCCTGGCACATGCCATGCAAGGACTTTAGCCACTAGGCTACCACACCAGGCCCAATTTATTTGATTCCTATCAAAACCATATTAGGCAAGTGTTCTTATTGCCCACATTTTATAACTGAGAATATTCACAAAACTGTTAACCAGGTAAATTTGCTTTAATTCATCTATTCTATAAGTAGTAGAGTTGGGAGTCAAACCTAGAAAGTCTAGGATGTATTGTCCCTCCAATGAAATAGGCAATACTTAGTATTCCACCCAGTTCCATACTTCATTCTCCACAAACTTAACACAATTCTTCCTAAAATGTCTAAGTTCCATCATTTTGCATCTCTAACCAACACCTTTCAGTAGCTCCCAAACTCAAGGTACAAAACAGCTCCTGCAGTGGCCTCGGCATCCCAACCTGAGTAGGACTCGTACCTCCCCACTGACTCTGGTTCTGTCACTCACATCTCACCCACTGAAGTCACAACAGCCTCCTTGCTCTTAACAAACCAACTAGGTCCTCACCTTGTAAGCGCCAGGATACCACATAGGCACTGGTTCAAGTCCTGGCTGCTCCACTTCCCACCCAGCTCCCTGCTTGTGGCCTGGAAAAGCAGTAGAGGATGGCTCAAGACATTGGGACCCTGCACCTATGTGGGAGATCAGGAAGAAGCTCCTGGCTTCGGATCAGTTCCTGTCATTGCAGCCACATGGAGAGTGAACCATCGGATGGAAGATCTTTGTCTCTTCCTCTCTCTGTACAGCTGTCTTTCAAATAAAAATAAATCTTTTTTAAAAAGATTAAAAAGATGCTTGCATTGTTATTTTCTATACTTGGTATGCTCTTCCCATACGTACTTTCATGGCTGTCTCTCCTTTCCTTTATTTAGGTTTTACTCCTGTGTCACATTTTCAGGCCTTACCTTATCTATGTAAGATTGAACTTTATTCTGCCTGTACTCCCTCTGTCCTCCTGACATAGTTAAATATTCTCCAGAAAATTTAAAACACACCAAGGTACTGTGCACTTTTGTTTGTCTCCCTTTAGTAGAATGCAGGAGCAGAATTCCACCTGTTTTTTCATAGGTCTGGCATCTGAAATAGTGTGCAATATCTTTTTAAAAACGATTATGCCATACACACAATATTCACTGTCTCACACCTCATTCACTGCGCACTCTACATGCGTTTCCCCCTTATTTCACCACAAAGACCCTGACGTGGGCGAGTGAGGTGGTGAGAAGCACCAACATTAAACGAAGCCCTAGAAGCAGGACCTTCATCTGGCAATGTCTTCACAAGAAAAGATACTAGAGAGCCCCCGCCCCACCTCCTGTCCCACCTCCTGAGCACACTGCCCCACCTCCTGAGCACACTGCCCCACCTCCTGAGCCCCCGCCCCACCTCCTGAGCCCCTGCCCCACCTCCTGAGCCCCTGCCCCACCTCCTGAGCCCCCGCCCCACCTCCTGAGCCCCCGCCCCACCTCCTGAGCACAGTGTCCCACCTCCTGAACCCCTGCCCCACCTCCTGCCCCACCTCCTGAGCCCCTGCCCCACCTCCTGAGCACACTGCCCCACCTCCTGAGCCCCTGCCCCACCTCCTGAGCCCCTGCCCCACCTCCTGAGCACACTGCCCCACCTCCTGAAGAGCACAGAGAGGGCACTCCTCTGCAAGCCGTGAACAGTCCTCACCAGGACCCAGTCAGTGAGGATCCTGGAGGACTCTCAGCCTCCAGAACTGGGAGAAAACAAAATGCTGTTGCTTAAACCACCCAGGCTGTGGTATTTTGTTACAACAATCTTAGGAAAATAACACACTTTTCCATTTTACTTTAGTCAATGACTTCATCGCTAAGTTAGAAAACCGAGGCTCTCCTCCCTTTTTACCCTGTTCATTACATGTAATTCAGCAATATCCACGCTTTCATATCCTACATTTAACTTGAACCCAGCAGCCACAATCCCTACTTTAAATCAATATGACAAAGGTTCTTCTTGACTTACTGAAGTCTCCCTATTTCAACCACAGTGCTCTTCTACTCTATCCTTCACACAGCAGCCAGTAAAACCTTTTTTTTTTTTTTAAAGATTTATTTTTATTATTTTTTCATTGGAAAGGCAGATATACAGAGAGGAGAGACAGAGAGGAAGATCTTCCGTCCGATGATTCACTCCCCAAGTGAGCGCAACGGGCCGATACTATGCCGATCCGAAGCCAGGAGCCTCTTCCGGGTCTCCCACGCGGGTGCAGGTTCCCAAAGCCTTGGGCCCTCCTCGACTGCTTTCCCAGGCCACAGGCAGGGAGCTGGAAGGGAAGCGGGGCTGCCGGGATTAGAACCGGCGCCCATATGGGATCCCGGGCGTGCAAGGCGAGGACCTTTAACCACTTGCGCCACCGCGCTGGGCCCAGTAAAACCTTTTTAAGTGAAAGTCAAAGCATACCATTTTTCTGCTTAACTCTTTAGTGACTTCCCTGTAGCACACACAGAAAAGCCAAACTCTGGTCCTAACCTGCAAGACCGTATGTCTGGGCTGGATCAGATCACCATCCAATGTCATTCAACTGTCATTTCCCTTTCACTCATTACAATCCAGCTACTATGGCTTTTGCTCTCTTTCTCAAACCCACACAGCTCTTCTCATGCTTACAGTGTTAACATTTGCTCTTTTCTATGCACGTATGCTCTTTTCCTCACCGTTGCCAGAGCTGGTGAAGCCTTCCATTTGCACACTAAAATTTCAGAGGACTTGCACAACATTCTACCTAGCAATTATTTCTTTTTGCTGCTTTGTTCTCCTGATTAGCATCTCTCTCCCTTGCTGGACTTTAGGACATAGGTCATTCTAGCATTGGTCATCAATCTATTCCAAAGTCTTTTAAGTTTTATTTATTTACTTGGGAGGCAAACAGAAAGAGTTCCCACTCACCGACTCACTCCCCCAGATGCCTACTAGGGCCGGGTCTGTTTTTCCTGGACTGAAGCCAGAATCCTTGGGGATCTTCATCCAGGTCTCCCATACAAAGGCTCTCAACTATCTGAGCCATCTACCTGCCACCTCTGAGAGTCTGAATTAGCAGGAAGCTGGAATGAGGAGCCACTGCCAGGCACCAACACTGACAATACGCAATTAACAAGGGCATCTTAATCGAAAGGCCAAACACCTATTGGTATAAGTCTTTTGATATCTACAAAGCTCTCAATAAATCCCATTGAGGGATGGGTATTGTGGCCACCACTTGGGATGCCTGTTTCCCCTATCAGAATGCTCAGCTCATGTTCCAGTCCATTTCTAATCTAGTTACCCATTAAAGCACATCTTGAGAGGCAGGTGATGACTAAACTACTTGACTCCCAGACACTCAAATGGCATTCCCTGGCTTCAGTCTTGACCTGTCCCCAGCTACAGCGGACATCTGGCAAGTAAACAACCAGAATATGCAAGGTCAATATATCTCTCTGTCACTCTTATTTTTAAATAAATAAAACTGCATAATCATTTTAAAAAGAAGCCAAACCAAATAAAAGTAGACAAGAATTTTAAATAGGAATTTTCAAATTCCTATTCATGAATTTCATTCTTCACAATAAAACAAAATCTTTACTTATTTTTTAACAACTTAGAGTATAGAAAGAGAATATAAAGTGGGGAAGAGGCAGGGTGAATAGAGAAGAGTCTGCTGTGCACTATGGATACCAGGCTGATGGCTGGGACCCACGTGCCGGAGCTGTCATCTACTCCTTCCCAGGGTGCACAACAGCAGGAAGAGGTGGAGCTGGCACTCAGCCCCAGGCACTCCACTACGGGATGCAGGCAACTCATCTATGCCACGCCTGCTCCTCGCAGTAAAATCTCATTGTCTATTTTTTACATGTCTTGCACATTTCCAATAGGATTATACCCAGGTGTTTTATATAATGTGGCACTACTGTGCATGTTCTTTTTCTAACTGGTTTATAAAAGTTATTTATTTTTCACGTTTCTCTTGATTTCAGCTCCTATACAACTAATTGCTAAACTGCTAAGTTTTCATTTATTTTCATTTTTGTGTACTTCCTAATTATATGTAGCTTTCACTTAACACTGCATTTCAAAAATCAAAACAATTTTACATATGCAAACACACATTTTATTACTATTCCAGAGGAAATCAGCTCCATCACTAAAATAATGTTGAAAAAACTTTTAGCTTTTTAAAAAGAAACTATCCAGTCTCACACTTTATCTTTTTAGTTTTTAACAGATTCATTTTTGTGCGATTACCCAATTATCTTACTCCCAACTACTAAAGTTCTGTTCATATCATACCTTATTTGCTTCACACAGAGTCTTCTCTGCTGACTTAAAATCATAATTCAAAAAATTATATGAATGTTCTGATTCATTTGTAAGGAAACCTATTTTGTCATTGGAAGAAGAAAAAGGAAGGATATTTACATAAATGTTCCAATGTCAAGTAATTTTTAAATGTATATTTAATTTACAATTACTTACAATTATTTTCAATTGAGTCCTTTTCAGACTCAGCTATCATTTTCAAATTGTCTTCAATATTAAAGACAGTACTTCCTTTTGGAAAGTTTCCTTTAGGGAACTAGAAAACAGAAATTCGTTTGTCAGTTTATTCAACAAAAAGAAAATGTGTGCACATACATATCTAATTTTATATTTATATATCTATGCTTATATTTATATGCACACACGTGACATTCAAAAAATCTGTGATTAAATCAATAGAGAAAACAGAGTACTTTATTATTCTAACAACTGCTATAATTCACATTTTTTTACATCTTTTTTTTTTTTTAAACAAATCATATTTTTTTTTTTTTTTATTATTTTTTCATTGGAAAGGCAGATATACAGAGAGGAGAGACAGAGAGGAAGATCTTCCATCCGATGTTTCACTCCCCCAGTGAGCGCAACGGGTCGATGCTACGCCGATCCGAAGCCAGGAGACTCTTCTGGGTCTCCCACGCGGGTGCAGGTTCCCAAAGCTTTGGGCCGTCCTCGACTGCTTTCCCAGGCCACAAGCAGGGAGCTGGAAGGGAAGCGGGGCTGCCGGGATTAGAACCGGCGCCCATATGGGATCCCGGGCGTGCAAGGCGAGGACCTTAACCACTTGCGCCACCGCGCCGGGCCCACATTTTTTTACATCTTAACATTTCTGAAGTAAGCTGCACTCCATAAGTGCATGACATTACAGCACAGGCAACAGCTGGGACATAACTATCAACCATGGGGGTTACAGTGTGCTGCAGCAGATAAAGCTGCACATGACAGCACTGGCATCCCTCCCTCAGTGTCAGTTTCAGTCCTGATTCCCTGGCTTCATGTCTAGATTTCTGCTTATGGGCCTGGAAAGGTAATGGGAGAAGGTCACCTACCACCCTCTTGGGAGACCCTGTATCTTGGCTTTGGCCTGGCCCAGAGCAGGCCACTGTGGTCATGTGAAGAGTGAACAAGTAGAGACTTCAGTTGCTCAACCTCTGTCACTCTTTAAAAAAAATTAAAACATTACACATGGATTTCAAATGTCAAATGAGTAGGAGCTTATTTACTAATTCGGAATACTTCTTTAAATTTACCCCTCTCTCAAAAAATATAAAGAAAAATGGAATCAAAAGTTGTACCTTAGATACATCCAAGAAGCAATAACTCTGACTTGTGTATAATATTAAGTGACTGGGGAGGGTGTAGACTTGGTAGTATGGAGAAAGTCAAACCAAAGTACCTACTACAAGAGAGCCAGATAAGAAATACGAGTATGCCCCAAAAACTAAGGGGAAGTTGAGAACCTGGATGCCAAGGTGCTGCTCAATTAGGATACAATGAATTTAATTATCTGATAGGGAATTTCACACAGAGAACCAAGAAAATCATGAGAGGAAATTGCCAAAACGACGACTTTTTAAAAGTCCCAGAAAATTAGTGGATTTCTACCTACAGGATCAAAAGACCTCAGAGTGCTAACACACAGTATTAATGAAATCTGAGGAAAGCAATCATTGTGAAATCCCAGTAACAGCAGAATAAAGAAAAAGAACTAAAATTTAATGGGGGGGAGGGGGAAACTGCCATATCTAAATTAAAAAAGAAAATAAGCACATCATAGCTACACTCAGCCAATTAAAGTATGACACTAAAATAAAAACATGCCCAACATGCAGAATCTTACAAATGATGCTCACAGATATGACTCAAAACAAGAAGAAAAAAATAAAAGATGTTGTATCCAAGTCACACAAGCTAGAAAGAGGTAAAGAAAATTTTTAGAATGTTAACTATACACATTGGAGTGCATTTGGGAGTAAAAAGAGGAAGAATCAGAAAAGTGATCCTCACTAAAAAAAAGATGGGACTGACTAGCTGATAAGTTTATGTAATTCCTGTATTGAAGAGTATTTTATAGGGGCTGGCACTGTTAATAGGATAAGCCTTCACCTGTAGTACCAACATCCCACATGGGCAATGGTTTGCATTCTGGATGTTCCATTCCCAACCCAGTTCCCAGCTAACAGTCTAGGAAATAGAGGAGAGCCCAAGTCCACAGGGCCCTGCACCCACACAGGTCAAGACCCAGAAAATTCTGGCTTCGCATGGTCTCAACTGAAGCCATTGCAGCCATTTGTAGAGTGAACCAATGGATAGAAGATCTGTCTCTTCCTCCCTCTGTAACTCTGCCTTTCAAAATAACTAACTAACTAAATAAATAAATGTGTTTTGTTTAAGTCACAAAACTTGCGGGATATGTCAAAAAAAAATTCACCTTATATCAAAACCATACTAAAAAAAACAGAAAAATGAAAATAATTTAAACTGGGGAAATTTAAAAAAGAAAGAAATTGCAAATTTGTTTAGAGTGGTGGGAGGAGGGTGGTGAAGAGGGAAATCTTCCAGCTGCTGGTTCACTTCCCAAACAGCCACAACAGCCAGAACAAGGAGCATCCTCCAGATCTCCCACATGGGTGCAGGGACCCAAGCACTTCAGCCATCCTCTGTGTTCCCAAGTCAGAAGTGGAGCATCCAGGACTCAAACTGGCATCCAGATGGGATGTCAGTGCTTTACCTGCTACGCCATAGCACTGGCCCCCAAAATATTAACACTTAGGAATATATTAATGCAGACAATACAATAAGGAATACACATTCATTGAAAAATTGCTGGCTGGGCCCGGCGCGGTGGCGCAAGTGGTTAAGTCCTCGCCTTACACGCCCGGGATCCCATATGGGCGCCGGTTCTAATCCCGGCAGCCCCGCTTCCCTTCCAGCTCCCTGCCTGTGGCCTGGGAAAGCAGTCGAGGAGGGCCCAAGGCTTTGGGACCCTGCACCCGCGTGGGAGACCCGGAAGAGGCTCCTAGCTTCGGATCGGCATAGTATCGGCCCGTTGCGCTCACTTGGGGAGTGAATCATCGGATGGAAGATCTTCCTCTCTGTCTCTCCTCTCTGTATATCCGCCTTTCCAATGAAAAAATAATAAAAATAAATCTTTAAAATAAAAAAAAAAAAAAAGAAAAATTGCTGGCTAAGAAGTTGGGTAGCCAAGACTCAAACCAACATTGCACTATGATATACTTGTTACGTCACACAAGAACCCTTTATTGCACAGTAGAAATTATATTTTCCTTACAAAATTTGGTGTTAACATTAAATTATTTGGCAAAACATAACCCTAGGAATATGAATGGTTTTTACCTGAGAGAAGTCATTCTGTATACAAGCACTACGCAACTTCGGCGTGAAAAAACAAGTGTTTCTCATCGAGTTTTCATACCCAGTGCCACCTGGAAACTGCCTGCTGTCCAGCTGTGAGATGCAGCCTCTGGCCATCACGTCACCAGCAGCTGATCCTCTTACCTGGTGCCCTTGAAACTCAACAGGCTACAGTAAATTGTTGAAAATAAAACTTCATTAAGTATAGTATGTATGGTGTATATCCTCACAATATACTCTGAAAACAATCATATAATTTAGTTTTTTATTAAATATTATTAAATGTAAAGAATTATCAAGGGGCTAATGTTGAAACCAGGAAATATTGTCCTAAAGTGTTTTGTTTTTGTTTTTTAAAGATTTATTTATTTATTGGAAAGTCAGATATACAGAGAGAAGGAGAGACAGAGAGGAAGATTTTCCGCCTGATGATTCCCTCCCCAAGTGACCTCAACAGCCAGTACTGTGCCAATCCGAAGCCAGGAGCCTAGAGCTCTTCCAGATCTCCCATGCGGGTGCAGGGTCCCAAGGCTTTGGGCTGTCCTCAACAGCTTTACCAGGTCACAAGCAGGGAGCTGGATGGGAAGCGGTACCGCCGGGATTAGAACTGGTGACCATATGGGATCCCGGCACATGCAAGGCGAGGTCCCAACCACTACACTATCACGCCTGGCCTGTCCTAAAGTATTTTTAAGGGTAATTAATCCACAGTGTACCAATTTAACTTCATTTAAGGTAAACATTAATAAATGTGAATTTCCCATTAAGAGCATAAAAGATAAATAAAAAAAATTATGACTCATTTAATGGCTTACTGAGCCAGGGAGACTTAGTTTCTCTTTTCTGTATGTTTCTCCTATATATTACATAATTATATATTATATATTTCTAATATATGTTACAGACTTACCACTTATCTATTATAACAAAGCTTCTCCTAATCTGTATGTTAACTACTGTATGCCCCTTGAGAACAGAGATCTGTCTCTTTCATCTAGGTATCATCTGTATTTAACACAGTGCTTGGCATACAGGAACCAATCAGAAGCCTTTTGATTAAGGGTTTGTTGACCATGAAGATGAACAGTAACATCATCTTAACTATAAGATGAATAGTAGACACTGCCTCCCAGTAGGCCTTAGGTCCTACTGCTAGCAAAGGCCTAAGGGGATGGTTCCAGTCTTCCACCAGCTTTCAGGCTTCCAAGAGCTTTCTCTGCTGCCCTCTAGAGGGCTCCACACATGATAACCACACTGACACGGAAACTGGGAAATCTCCATAAAGGATAAATTGCTTTCTAACTTGAACTAATAAAATAACAATAATATATATCACAAATATATAATCTTACTCAAAGATATAGATTCCATATTACATATCTGGAAGGAAAATAAAATCAAAATGTTCCTTTATGTAGGACATTTGTTGAAAAATATTCTTCCAAATAAAGACAAGCCTTAACTGCTTTGGGCTTTATATCTTTCTATATATTTCTGCTTTATTTTATGGGGAATATACAGGCCCACAAGAAAATAGATATTACTGCACAGATTTCTTCCAGAGATTACCATGGTTTTAGGAACAAAGCAGCTATTTACAGTCACTCAGATGCTGCTATAAATTGTTAACTTTTGATGTGAAGAAGGTAACACTACCTAGAGTTTGATCTAAATATATTTTCATGTATATATTTATATACATACTAACACACCAAAGCGGGAGAGCAGACTACACGTTAAAGGCTATGAACAGGCTCATTTTATTTTCCACATTGATCAGTTGGACTGCTCACGGTTTTGCATCCAACCTTTAGGGTCTCCTATGCATCTAAGGACACTGAGGACACCGCACTTATTCACTCACTGACAGTCCAGAGAAGGTTCACAACCAAAAATGGGACAGGATTCATCAGACAGCTTCTCATGTTTTAAGACCTAGCTAACTTATTGAACTCCCTAACCTTAAGCCTTTAAAACACTAACACTTACATATATAAAGAATAGCATGTAGCTTAGAAAATTCATGTTTATAAACATTACCTTAGAGTCACAGGTTTTTCCCTCTATTTGATTAGGAATATCAGCTAGAAAAGTATTCTCCTCTTCACATTCCATGGAAAAGAACTATAATTAAATATAAAAAGGTTACTTAGTTATCTATCTAGTTTGATAGAATAGTTTCAGAGTTGGTTCACTGATGGAAAAATGCTCACAAACTTAAAGGTAAATCTAGCCTTTGAAAATACTCTCACCATTTCCATCTTCTCTCTGAACACACACATAACCAGCTGGAAAAGGAATTCTTAGTAGACATGACAGTAACAATAACTTTAAAACCCAACATATTAGAAAATTCTGACTGTAAATTGAATTAAATCTTCCAACACTACGATAAATTGTTTGGTACATAAGAAATCACTTACCAATTTAATACTATTTTAAAAACTGCTTAATTGGGCCTGAAACGGTAGCCTAGAGGCTAAAGTCCTCACCTTACACACACTGGGATCCCATATTGGCTCTGGTTCTAATCCCGGCAGCCCCGCTTCCCTTCCAGCTCCTTGCTTGTGGCCTGGGAAAGCTGTCGAGGACGGCCCAAAGCTTTGGGATCCTGCACCCGCGTGGGAGACCCGGAAAGAAGTTCCTGACTCCAGACACCTAGCTTCGAATTGGCGCAGCTTTGATCACTGCAGCCACTTGGGGAGTGAATCATCAGGTGGAAAATCTTCCTCTCTGTATATCTGACTTCCCAACAAAAATAAATAAAATCTTTTTAAAAACTAATTATTTGAAGGAATAACAGAGAGGGAGAGACAGAAAAATCTCCCATTAACTAGCATCATGCCTTCTCCACTGGAACAGCTCCTCTATTATGCATAGTCAATTACAGAAATAAGGCAAAAATAGTTTTGCAGATACCTTCAAAGACCACCCTAGGACCAGCACTGTGCAACGGTGGGTTAACACACTAACTGTGACACTAGCATCATATTTGAACATGGGTTTGTGTCACAGCTACTCTACTTTCTATCCAACTCCCTACTAATGCTCCTGCAAAAACAGTGGAATGTGGCCTAAAGTACTTACAGTACTGTTACATGTGTGGAACACACAATGGGAGCCATGCTCCCAGCTTCACAAAAATGTTGCAATCATTTGGGGAGTGAGCCAGTGAATGAAAGGCATCTCTATCTCTCCTACTAACTCTCTTTTTGCAAACAAAAATAAATAAATAAGTCTTTAAAAAAGAAAAGTTATGATGGGCCCGGTGCGGTAGCCTAGTGGCTAAAGTCCTTGCCTTGTACGCACCGGGATCCCGTATGGATGTAAGTTCATATCCTGGCAGCCGCACTTCCCATCCAGCTCCCTGCTTGTGGCCTGGGAAAGCAGTCAAGGACGACCCAAAGCCTTGGGACCCTGCACCCACGTGGGAGACCCGGAGAAGGCTCCTGGCTCCTAGCTTCAGATTGGCTGGGTTGCAGCCGCTTGGGGAATGAATCATCAGAAGTAAGATCTTCCTCTCTGTCTCTCCTCCTGTCTGCATATATGACTTTGCAATAAAAATAAATAAATCTTAAAAAAAAAAAAAAAAAACAGAAAAAGAAAAGTTATGGGGCCAGTGCTGTGACTCAACCAGCTTATCATTCACCCTGTGATGCCAGCATCCCTTATGGGTGCCAATTTGTGTCCTGGCTGTTTCACTTCCCATCCAGCCCTTTGCTTATGGCCTAGAAGAGCAGTGGAGGACGGCCTACGGCCTTGGAATCCTGAACCCATGTGGGAGACCCAGAAGAGGCTTCTGGCTCCCAGCTTCAGATCAACTCAGCTCTGGCCAGGCCATTGTAGCCAATTGGAGAGTGAACCAAAGGATGAAAAACCTTCCTATAAATCTACCTTTTAACTACAAATAAACACATTTTAAAATTTTTAAAAAACTATTACAAAGAGTGTAAGTACATTTCCATTGTAATGCTAAAAACAAATGCAAATTACTTTTATTGCAAAAGTTTACAAAAACTTCTCATACTCTAGGATTGCCAGAGTTTTTTGAAAATGTATGATATTTATTTTAAGTGAAAACTCACACTGGGTGAAAAACAAGATAGTATTTATCTGCTAATTGATACCCGGTGATAACTGTCCTGTAAAAAGTTTAAACTTTTTTTTAAATTAAAAAAAACACAAATTTGAACATTGGTAATCTAAATATTCATGACTGTATACATCTAATCGTGAAGTGAAAGTGGTCAAAATACAGACACATTTTTTATTTTCCTGTTTTATGCTACAGAGCTGTAGGTACAATTGTCAGTGACAAATTGTGAGCCTGACAATGAATGTAAGCTTTCAGAATTAACTTTATGATAAAGGACTTATTTAACCAAATCTTACTGCTCATACAGAATGTTCGTACAAGAACAATATGTTCACTAAATAAGGGGTAAATAACTACAATGCATTTGGAAACTGACCATACAAAATAAGTAAATGAATAAATACATTAATTTAAAAGATAAAGTTCCAAAAAAGTGGAATTAAAAAATAAATTTTGGGGCAAAATTTTTGAAGTGCATGCATATAAGAAACCTTCAATATTCTCAAGGAAAACATGTTGTGAAAATCCACACAGGCATTTCAAAATTACTTCAGACCAAAATAAACTTATCTTTTAATTCCATTCCCTACGAACTTTCTGAAATCTCCTCCAATATAAACCAAACTTAAAGCTCATAACTGTAATACAAATAAAATTTCTCACTGCATTATACTTTGAAAGGTAACTCACTGGCCAAGACTGATGTGCTTCATTCGGTGATGGAAGCGCTTCATTTTCTTCAAGTATCTTAGGAACAGAACATTGATATTAACCAAAAGGCAATACAAGTTTATAAAATAAAAATACAAATTTCTACTATACATAAAAAGGCCAATAACAAAAACCAGGATGTTGATAAGAGTATTTTCACTTGCAAAGTATTTCAATGTTTTAATAGTACTTGTGAAAATAAAGTGAAATATCCTAATTGTTAAACATTTAGATTTTTATTTATTTATTTTAGAGACATCAAAAGAAAAAAGGCAGATAGAGCTCTCCTGTGCTGGTTCTCGTTCCAAATACCCACAATAGCAGGGCTGGGCCGGGACCAAAGCTGGGAGCCACTAATACAATTCAGGTCTCCAACATGAGTGGAAGCCCAGTTAGGTCAGTCACACAGCTGCTTCCCAGGGTCTTCATTAACATGTAGGTGACGTCAGCAGCTGTAGGAATTCAATCCAGGTACTCCAACATGGGACATGGGTATTAACCGCTGTGCTAAACACCTGTTCTGGAGTTCAGCTCTGTGGGGGAGTAGGTAAATGCTGGTATCCCATACTGGAATGTGATTTCACGTTCCAGTTACTGTACTTTTAAAAAAAAAATGCAGTATTATTATTGAAAGGCAGAACTATCGCTTTTCGGCCTTTTGGCTAAGATCAAGTGAAAGACAGAATTAGAGAGAGAGCCATTGGGAAGAATGGTTTTTGTTTTAATTTACAGGGTCAACACTGTGGCACAGGTTAAGCTACCACCCGCAGCACCAGCATCCTATACTGGAGAACTACATTGGTTCAAGTCCTGGCTTCATCCAGTAGATGGAAGAGCTCTTTTTCTTTCTCTGCCTTTCAAATAAATAAATAAATCTTTAAGAAACTAAAATGTTATTTATACCAGCAAAATGGCAGGCATAACCTAAATGATCAAAATAAAAAAATTGCTCTTCTAGAACACAGAATATTCACAAAATGGGACAGCAAGTAATCTTTAACAACAACAACAAAAACGCTCTTGGGGCAAGTTTGGTGCTTCAGCAAGTTCATCTGCCACTTGGGATGTCCACATCCCATTATCAGAACACCAACAGCGCACTCTCAACGCCACTTCCCATCCAGCTTCTGGGTAATGTTCCTGGGAGTCAGCAGATGGTGGCTAAGTGCTTGGGTCTCTGCAACTCCACGGCAGACTCACGGAGTTTGTCTCCTGGCTTCAGCCTGGCCCATCCCTGGCTGTTGCGGGTATCTGGGAGTGAACCAATGGAAGGAAGATCTATCTGTGAGCATGTTTCTCTTTGTTGCTTCGTCTCCCAAACAAGTGCTTAAAAAATAGTTCTAAAAGTTTTTAATAATGATATAGATAGTAACTGAAAAGGATGTGAAAGTATTTGCATCAACCGGCCATTTAAAAAAGAAGTATAGAAAGAGAACTGAAAACATTAATAATTATGCCTGGGAGGTAGAGGTACAGTTGCTTTTTTTCCCCTTCCTTCAGTGTTATGGACTTTAAAAAGAAAAAGAGTACACACCTGCTACGAAATGGCAATGAATGAATAAATTGCCTCCCCAAAACGCTACCACTATAGACTCTCTATTACAAAACCCTAATCTTGATTATTTACTTCAGTATTTAAGCTCATTCTATTTTTTTAAGTGCTTTTATTCATTAGAACAAGCAGAGAGAAATAGAAACAGCCCAGTGTGGTTGCCTAGCGGCTAAAGTCCTTGCCTTCAACGCACCGGGATCCCATACGAGTGCTGGTTCTAATCCCAGCGGTCCCGCTTCCCATCAAGCTCCCTGCTTGGGGCCTGGGAAAGCAGTTGAGAAGAGCAAAGCCTTGGGACCCTGCAGCCATAGGGGAGACCCAAAAGAGCTCCAGGAGCCTGGCTCTGGATCAGCACATTTCCGACAGTTGAAGTCACTTGGGGAGTGAAGCAATGGACAGAAGATCTTCCTGTCTCCCCTTCTCTTTGATCTGCCTTTGCAATAAAAAGAAATAAATCTTTAAAATAAATGAAACAGATCTTTCATCCATCGGTTCACTCAGCTTTAGCTCTATCCAGTTCCCCCACGAGTGCCATGAAGTTAAGTACTTGAGCCATCACCTGCTGTCTATCAGGGACACACAGATGTGGCAGATGACTCTTAAGAGAGGCAATCCAAGTGACATTTTAATCACTGCATCAGATGCCAAATCTGGTTCCCCAAACTGCAGCAATCTGCTGTGGGGTATTAGGTGAACTTGCAGAGGCTCCAGAGATGTTTTATATTGAAGGAAATAGTGCCACTCAACACTTGGATTTGTGATGCTGTGTTTTCAAAAATACATTTATGACATAAAGCAATTACAATGAAAAAACACAAGAAACAGAGTGGGTACTATCTAAATGTATTCCAAAGTTTGAGAAGCTGTGCAGTGCTCAACAGGACACACACTCCATCAATAACTGTGTTAATAGGGAAAAAAAAAAAAAACTGGGGCAGGTGTTCAGCGCTATAGATAAGATACCAGTTAGTAGGGTAAGTATTACGACACAATGGATTAAGGCACTGCTTTGATGCTCGCCTCTCGGAGTGCTGGTTTGGGTCCCAGCTACTTCATTTCTGACCTAGCTTCCCACTAACGTGCCTAGGAAGCAGCAGCTGATGGCTCAAGTACTTGAGACACTCTCACACACAGGAGAAATAGGTGGAGTTCCTAGAGGCTGCCTTTGATCTTACCCAACCCCAGCTGTTGCAGGCATTCGGATACAGAAGCAGCACTATTTGTCTCTTACCTGTCTTGCAAATAAAGAGTTTACTAAGTTTTTAGTACATAAATACCCACATACATAAAATAAGTCCTTAAAAAATTCTACTAACTACTTAGTAAAATTACTAGAGATACAGGGAAAATTACTGAAGTACAAAAGGGATCATGAACTAAGATAGTTTGGGACCCTCTCTAATTCTACACAAATTATGAAACATTCATTTCAAAACAAAATATTATTAGAGAAAGAATATACGCACTTGTTGAGAATCCTGGTTCCAATGAGGAGACCTAAGTACAGACTGTGGAATTACTGTAACAGATGGTTTTCTAGCTGTAATGGAAAAAATCAAATGTTTTTAATTCATCACTTATAAAAGGTTGGTTCAAAAAGATTATAGAAAAACAGAATTGCAAGGTAAGTTTAGAGGTTGACATCTGTCATAGCAGTCAAGATGCTCATATCCCTTACGAGGGTACCTGAACTGTGAGTCCCAGCTGTTTCTGAAATTAATTCCCCCAAATGTGTCCCACAGGAGGCAGTAGATGATGGCTTACGTAGTCTGACTCCTGCCACCACAGGGCAGACACGAATTGAAGTGCCCATCTCATGGGCCAGGCCCCACTTGGTGAGGGCACTGGGGAGTGAATCAATCCACAGATGGAAGACAGATCTGCCCACTTTTTCCTTCTCTTTCTCTCTTAATTGTTCAAATAGATTTTTAAAGAATTTAAAATGCTTCTTTGGGTGCAAAGAATTTTGACATTCATGTGTTGTTTGAGTATAACAAGTATTCTCTATAAACTTTCTGAAGACCCTTCATTTGGTAGTGTTCTAAAATATTTGGGGCTGGCACCATGGCACAGCAAGCTAAGCCTTTACCTGCAGCACCAGTATCCCACATGGGCACTGGTTCTAGTCCCAGGTGCTCTACTTCCAAATCAGCTCCCTGCTAATGCACCTGGGAAGGCAGTGGAAAATGACCCAATTCCTTGGGCCCCTAAACCCAGATGGGAGACCCAGAAGAAGCCCCTAACTACCGGCTTTGGACCAGCCCTGCTCTGACTGTTGTGGCCACTTGGGGAATGAACCAGTAGATAGAAAATTTCTCTCTCTCCTCACTTATTCTGCCTCTCAAATACAAATAAAAAATGTTTTTATAAGTTTTTAAAAAACAAATTATTTTAAATTTATTTTAAAACTAAAGAAAACAAGAAATACAACATGTTTTAAATGCAGTAGTATAAAATATTTAATGTAGACTTTTTAAAGGATTTATTTGGTTGAAAGACAGAGTGACAAACAACAAGAACACACTCACAGATCTGCTAACTCCTTCCCTAATTGGTCACAGAAGCCAGAACTCGGTCAAGCCTCTGCCAGCATCTTTAACTCCATCTGGTCTCCCATGCTGGTGAAAAGGGCCCAAACCACTCAGGCTACTTTCCTCTGCTTTTCCAGGAGCACCGGCAAGGAGCTGGATTGGAAGTAGAGTAGTCAGGACTCATACTGGTGATATATCCTTTAAAGTTCCACATCTATAATTTTAAAATAATTATTACTGTATCTTATGGAAACTTCATTTTTGGCAACTCTGAATTTTGGTTTCACTACTTTCCTGCTAAAATTTAGAATAAATTGAATGAAACAAATGGGTTTTGGAACTTGATGTTATTTATAAATGGTGGGGCAGGCTTGCAGCACAGTAGTTAAGATGCTGTTTGGGACCCCAACATCAGAGTGCCGGATTTGATCCCAAGCTCTGCTTCCCATGCAGCGTCCTGTTCTCCATACCCTGAGAAAGCAACAGATGGCAGCTCAAGTACTTGAGCATATGTGGTCCACATGAAAGACTTAGGTTGAGATTTGGGCTCCTGGGTTCAGCCTGTCCTAAACTTGACTGTTGAGGCTATTTGGGGTGTCAACTAACAGATGGGAGGTCTCTGCCTCCTCATCTTTCAATTGAAACAAAACCCAAAATAGCACAAGACAAAAATTTTTCCTCCCAGGGTGAGCACTTTGGTGCAGTAAATCAAGTCCTGACTTGGGATACCTGCATAGCATATCTGAGTGACGTTTTATGTACTGGTTATGCTACTTATGATGCAGCTCCTTGCTAATGTCCCTTGGGAGGGTAATGAATGATGGTTGGCCCAAGTTCTCACACTCATGTGGGACCCCAAAAGGAATTCCTGGCTCCCAATTTCCACCTGACCTAGCTCCAAGTATTGTAGACATATGGAAATTGAACCTGCAATTCAAAGTTTCTCTATCTCTCTCACTCCCTCTCTCTTCTTCTGTTTTGTGACTTTGAAATAAAGACAAATTAAAAAAAAAATGTTTTCCCTTTACTCCTTTCAATACAGAATAAAATTCCAAACACTCTGATCTATGTTCTATCATCTCACAAAAACTTTAACTGGGTATCTTTTTCACTTCCAAATGCTAAACAAGCAGTAAAAAATCAGTGGCCAGAAATACACATTCCCTACAAGGAAATACCCTGCCTTCCTATTTTAGTTTGTGTTGTAGATAAATGCCTTGGGGGGGGTGGTCTATTTAGTGATCCATTTTCACATCTTGATTTTTTTTGTGAGTGGACTTCTCTATTTAAGATGTACTGTGTAAAGGGTTACCTAGTGTTCCCCAATGCCAACAAGCTTCTACATCTTTTATGAAGAAAATACATATACTTTTGTAAGTTTTATTCAGGCACATGCTATAGTATTGTCAGCATGAATTCAATGACAATACATCAATAATATATGCTAGATAGGTGTGTTTAAACACAAACCCATATAAAATAATGTTTTATATTAATGAGCTGTTGAAAATATTTTGACCAAAGTCTTCCAAGGATGTAATCCTGTATTTCCCCTGGGAGCAATCATCCAATATTTGCTCATTTAGAATCTGCTGTGACTTTACAGACCAGAACTGCCAAAAACAATGAGAATTAATTATAATTCTCCTTTCCAACTTGATAGGAATAAGTCGGACTATCACAACCAAATTCTATGATTCTTAAACCCTTGCATGAGGAATCTAAAATCATACTTAGCCTTATATAATTATATGTACCCATATGTACTTTTAAGCTTATTTATTTCTAGAAACTTAACAATTGCCATCAAACTAATTTCACGTATCTTGATATTTATATTTTCTCCAGAATCATTTAAGATACTCAAGTAAGTATCCAATTTCAAACACTGAGATCATAAAATGCATTATTCTATATATTTGTATATATACAATTTACTTTTATATCCTTAGACAATGTGATAAATGATGCTTAAACATACTAAACATCAATTTCACCTGTCATAGAAGCAAAAAATTAAAAATATTGAAATGCTGTTTCTCAGTTATTACAGACATTAAAACTTTCAAGTTTAACAACACAGCATTCACAGGACTATAGACAAACAGCTACTGTTATACATCTTTTGGTGGGACAAAAGACTGCATAATTCCCATCAAGAAAACAAAAACACGAATTTACTCAGTAATCCTATTTCTAAAAAATCTTCTACAGCCCAGTGCAATAGCCTAGTGGCTAAATGTCCTTGCATTGCATCCACCAGGATCCCATGTGGGAGCTGGTTCATTTCCCAGCTGCTCCACTTCCCATCCAGCTCCCTACTTATGCCCTGAGAAAACAGAGGATGGACCAAAGCTGTGGGCCACTGCACCATTGTAAGAGACCCAGATGAACCTCCTGTTTCCTGGCTTCACACTAGCTCAAGTCTGGCCATTGTGGCCATTTGGTGAGTGAATCAGCGGACAGAGGTTTTCCTCTCTGTAAATCTGACTTTAGAATAAAAAGAAATCAATCTTTAAAAAAATTTAAGACACAGCTTTAACATGAAAACAAAAAATGCATACAAAAAGACATTAAAAGAGCTTCTGGGGCATGGTGTGGTAGCTTAGCACATAAATCCACTTCCTGTAAAGCTGGCATCAGCATCCCACTTGGGGGATGGTTCAAACCCCAGCTGTTCCACCTCTGATTCAGTTCCCTGCTAAAATGCCTGGGAAAGCAGTGGACAATGGCCCAAGTGCTTGGGTCCCTGCACCAATGTGGGAGACCTGGAAGAAACTCATACTTCCTAGCTTCAACCTGGCCCAGCTCGGCAGCCATTTTGAGAGCGAATCAAATAATGAAAGATCCCTCTCTAACCTTTTTTTTTTTTTTTTCTGGAAAAGCTGAGTATCCTTTATCCCCAATTTGTGATTAAAAATGTTTGATTTCAGATGCTGGAACATTTTCAAAGCCTTTACCAGTATTCCTAATCCAAAAATCCATACTCTGGAATAATTCATTAAGCCTCTGCCTGAGGCACCAGTATTCCACATGGGTGCTGGTTTGAGTCCTAGCAACTCTACTTCCGATCCAGCTCCCAGTGTCTAGGAAGGCAGCAGTGGAAGACCCAGGTCCGTGAGCCCCTGTACCCACATGGCAGTTCCAGACAAAAGCTCCTAGTTCATGGTTAGCTCAATACTCCAAAATTTAATTTCAATTTATTCTCTTATTATTTTTAACTTAAAAGGCAAAGTTACAAAGAGAAAAGGAGAAACAAGGAGAAAGAGAGCTTCCATCTGCTAGTTCACTCCCTGAAAGACCACAATGACAGGAACTGGGCTCGTCTTAAGGCAGATTTTTTTTTTCAGATTTACTGATTTTGATTGGAAAGGCAGATATACAGAGATATAAAAAGATCTTCTATCAGCTGGTTCACTCCCCAAGTGGCTGCAACAGCCAGAGCTTCTTGGTCTCCCATGCTGGTGCAGGATCCCAAGGCTATGGGTCATCCTCTTACTGCTTTCCCAGGCTACAAGCAAGGAGCTACATAGGAGTGGAACAGCCAGGACACAAACTGATGCCCATATGGGATGCTGGCATGTGCAAGGCAAGGATTTAGCCACTGAGCCATCACATTGGGCCCCAGGCAGGTATATTTTGAGTCTTTGATTTTTGGTTTAGTGCTCACTTCAGCAGCACATATACTAAAATTGGAATGATTTTTGGTTTAGAGATGCTCAATATGTACAGATACACAAGGCTATTTACTGTCACTTTATTTATAGATGTAAATACTGGGAATAATGTACAATAACCTAGGAAGTTTAGCTAATTAAATGATGCAACATCCAGATAGTGACATATAACTGCAAACTAATCCTGTGAACTGATTTGATGCGATTTCCAAAACGTATTAAGTGAAAAAAAAAAAGTGTTAGAAAATTCACAGATGAGGCAGGCATTTGGTACTGCTCTTAAGTGGACCCTTGGGATGCATGCATGAGAGCCTTGGTGAGTTCTGGCTGGAATCTAATTCCAGCTTCCTGTTCATGTGCACCTTGGAGGGCAGCACATGATGGCTCAAGTAGTCAGGTCTCTTATAGAAATCTCAAGGAAGTTCCTGGCTCCTGGTTTCAGCAAGGCCCAGCCCTGGCTGTTGCAGCCATTTGAGAATGAGCCAGCAGATGGCAATCTCTGCCCTTTAAATCTCAACTAAAACTAGTTAAAACAAACCATATGCGTGTGTGTGCGCACGCGCCCGCGCGCGCACACACACACACAAATATGGTACCTTATGTTGAGTAAGGGAAAATGAAATTTTATATATAGTTATTTATTCTTGCAAAAAAAAGGTCCAACACAGAGTTCATCACATGGGTAGGAAGTATAAGGAATCTAAGTATATTTTTATATACCTTTGATTTTTTTTTAATCTCAGCTACTATTTTACATAGTGAAACACAAAATATAGTAACAGGGTGAACAAAAAGCCCCTATCTAGAATCTAAACAATGGACTACACCACACTTACAGGAAATTACATAAGCACACGAAAGTACTCCCAGCACAACCTAAAAACAAAACTGCAAAGGACAGTGAACTTCACAAATATGTAAAGATTTTTTGCTATTAGTAGTAATACTGGTGTGACAATTTACAAACTATATGCTATGTGTTAAAGACCTCAGGAAGCAAAAAAAAAAAAATGGCGTTGTTTGAAGCCTATACCCTTTTGTACAATTATTGAAACAGAGGAGAGGAAGAACCCTGAAGAGTAAGGTAAAAACTAGAAGTACCAATATGTACTCAAGATTTCTTACAATGTATTTTCCAGGATATATTCAGAAACAAAACATAGGGATGAATTATCAAATGCACACACATTCATTTACAGGCGTGTATATATTCCTAAGTCATACAGAAGATTTCTAGAAAGATACTCTCAGAAACCAAATTAATTCTCAGGAGTGAGCTGAGGAGCGATGATAGGAAGGAGACTTATTTTTCTTTACATTATCCTCAAACAAAACTGATTTTACCAAGAATGTGTGTTAGCTGCTTAAATCCTGCATAATTCTTTCACGTAGCAGCAGCCACAAGTTATCTTCTCATTCCTTCAGCTACAAAGAGAGTAACAAGAAACAAACATGCCATTCTAACCTTTAGGACTTCTATCTGCCTCACGTGTCTGCTGAATTTCTTGTTGTTGAAGGGCAGTACTATTATTCTTCAACATTTCCAAGCTGTCTAAAGCTGTACTGTATTCAGAGAGTGACTTTAAAAGGGAAATGCTATTTACTAATCCAGAAAGTTCTGAAGAATTTCTAGGATTACCCCCATGTTGTACACTTTGTCTGGCAGCTTCGACTTCATTATAGTCATTCGGTAAACTTCTTAACTTTCCCAAGTGCTTGGTTTCAGGAACATAAACCGTGATGTCTGTGGGAACAGGATTCTTTTTATCCAGAGAGTAAAACGAAGAACTGGAATCTTGAGTATTTGTTTTATCAAGCTCAATGCTTCCAGAATGATTGTGATTGGCATTTAATAATTGGATATTACTGTCAGTGCTAGAGGTTGTTGGGAAAACCTGTTTATCATTTTTGTCTAAGTCAATTCCTAAAATAGAAGGTTGACGTGCAACATTTTCAGAAAATAGGCTACCACTTTCAGAACTTTGATTAGTGATCATGTTTGTATTCTTAGCTTCATTTGGGAATAGAGGAAAATCATGGTTAATTCTGACTTTTTCGAGAGACTTCTTAGCATCTTTTTTATTACAGAAATAAACATCATCAGTCCACTCTAAAGATGAGTCAAAGTTGCTTAATGTGTCACTGCATTCTTCGTCTACTCCCTTCTCTGTGTTTTCAGCTTTGCAGGGTCCTGTGTCAAAATCCACACAAGCTTTACCAAGGAAATGTGATGGCAGAATCTCTTTAACAGGGGATGTCTCTGCAGGTTTTCCACCAATAGATGTTAGCAATGGCAAATGTTCACTTCCCATTTCCTTACGGCTTATATCTTTCCACCTCTTCGGAACACTTGAATTGCCATCGTTAATCAAAATTTCTCTTTTTCCACTTTCTGAATTTTGTGAAACTTTACTGCTTTCCTGTGATTCGTCCTCAGTGTCACTGGTCTCAAAATTGTTCAGATTAAAATTTATCTCCAAAAATGGCTGTTCACAAATACTATTTAGATGCCCCCTATCAGTATGACTTTTAGAAAATGTGTCTCTGATGTCATCAGAGATCCCAGAATTGCTATTTAGAAAAGATTCAGTTTGTAGGTGTTCTGATTCTGGCAGAGAAGAAACTGGTTGCTCACACTTTTCTTCCAGTGCTTCACAAGCATTCGCCACATGAGCATTTTCTGTAATGTAAACAGACTGTCCTAGGTATTCCTTGTCATTTTGACTAAAAGGTACTTTATTCCTGTCTTGAATGTCAGAATTAGATAATAAACCATCATTTTCTGCTCTCCTGCAGGTAACCAGTAAGCTGTTGCTTTCACGTAATGAAGGAATTTCTAATTTTACTTCCTGATTCCAGGATTGGTGACTACTTCCCACAGGCTTATCTTCACTATGCTTTTTATCCTTTTCAGTACTTGTTTCTGAGACGTCTACTTTGGGTGACAAAAGTTCTTTCACATTCATATTTACATCAACCTCTGTATCACTGGCATCCTTCATCAAAGAGTGCACAGGTGAATTTGGTACAGATAAATACATAGCCCACCGACTTTCGTTTCTCATAGTACTTTCCAATGGGTACTTAGAGTCGGAATTGCCTTCGCTCTTCATCTCAGCATACTCTTCCTGCAGACTGAAGCACTTCGGCTTAATAGGAATTTTTAAACTTTCTTGTGGTTGCACCTTAGGAAAATGTTCCGCAGCTTCAGAATTGAATTCCTTATACCTATTAGCAGACTTGGACTTCAGAAGAGCTAGTATCTGTGCTTTGCTTCTGACGGCTTGTGTACCTCCTGAACACTGAGATGTCAAATTATCTCTTTTATTTGGCTCATTGGTTAGTGAAGGGTCTGAATGATTGCTTCCAGAGCAAAAATAATTTTCTTCAGATAGCATTTCCGAGTTAACCTTAAAGCCTGGAGTAAAAGCAACTGAAGACATGCTACTTCTTTCTTTGGTTTCAAAAGAGAGAGCATTCTCAAGGTTCGTTGGTAGAGTATTCACATCTTTTTTGCCAATAGTAGGAAACAAAGGCGGTATGCTGTAACATGGAGGTACAAGCATAGGACCTGGTCTCTGAGCTTCAATCAACATTGCTGATTCTCCATTTTCTGGAATAACCATTTTCTTTGGAACTTGGCGTGGTGCTTGAAAACCCTACAAATATTAAAATAATTATTAGTTATACAAATATCTGTAAAGAAAAAGTGAAATAACTGGCTTGAGGAAAATAATTGAGTCAATGTTGTTGCAGCCAGTTAAATAATCCCTCTGATGCCTGTAATCCTACTGGAATGTTAGTTCGAATCCTAGTTACTCCACTTCTGATCCAACTCTGCTGATGAGCCTCAGACACGTGGAAACCTGAAAGGGGTTTCTGGTCCCTGGCTTTGGCCTGGCTGAAACACAGCTGTTATGGGAAAGGGAACTGAGCAGACACATTATCTCTGTCATTCTACCTTTCAAATAAATAAATAAATCTTGAAAAGAAAAACAAGAGCCAAGCGCCGTGGCCTAGCAGCTAAAGTCCTCGCCTTGAACATGCTAGGATCCCATGTGGGCACCGGTTCTGATTCTAGCAACTCCATTTCCCATCCTGCCTGTGGCCTGGGAAAGCAGTCGAGGATGGCCCAAGGCTTTGGGACTCTCCACCCACGTGGGAGACCCGGAGGAGGTTCCTGGTTCCCGGCTTCCGATCGGCGCAGTATCAGCCGTTGTGCTCACTTGGGGAGTGAATCATCGGACGGGAGGTCTTCCTCTCTGTCTCTCCTCCTCTCTGTATATCTGGCTTTGTAATAAAAACAAAGAAATCTTTAAAAAAAGAAAAAAGAATAAAATAAATGAAAATAAATATTTTTAAAAGATTTAAAGTTTGCAAAACTAAAATATAAATTCATGAAGTTAAGATTTTCCAGACTAGAATTTACTTCCTTCCTAATTAAGTACATGAAAAAGTATTTTAACGACAGAATACAATAACTTCAAATTCATTATTTGTTTAAACCAGTTTTATGAATAGATGTTGGTGAATTATTTTCCACAGAGAAACTTACAGTAAACTTGCGTTTTAAGCCAGAAGGCTGACATCCAAGAGACCGGCCAGAGGATGCAAACCTCCTTGCCTGCGGAGTTTCTTTGACATCTTCTTTAACAGCTGTGCTTCCAGAAACTTTAACTTCCTCCACAGTGATTAAGTAACGATCACTTTCTAAGTCATCTCCGGGTTTCACCTAAATTGTAAAAAATAAGTGTCACAATCTTGTGCAGCTAATTATTTGATCATCTATATATTCCTATAAGCTCACTATGCACCAAGCACCAAGCAAGATTCACTAGATATTCAGTGCCTGTTGAACGAATAACTAAATTTATCAACTCTTTATTAATATGTAGAAGCATTTCAAAAGGGTCATAACACAAGTTTAAAAGCTTAACTTGCTCACTGAACAGTACATACTATGAACCTTCAAAGGCCCTCTATTATACACTGGCATTACAAACACTGACAGAAATAATATCTCTCAAGGAATTTATTTAGACTACTTGCAGCTAAATATATATTTTTAAATTTGCAGTTATTAATTACAAAGCTTCACAAATAGGTATGAATTACACACATTCTCAATTATCACAAAGTATATTATATTACAAATTACTTATATAACCTTATCCCAAAAGGCATTTTAATCACTTAAATAAACACTTGCATTCATTTCTAACTACTATTCAATGATTACTAGCTTTGTTTGAAAACATGCAAAATCTGAATCAGATAATTTTCTACAAATGAAATAATTTAAGAAAGAATAGCAGTAATTACTACCTATTAAGCATCTACTAACTGCTTATCCTAGACTTTTTAATGAATATAAAAATACAACCACTATAAATGTCACACAAAATTGCAAAATGAATTAAGGATCATAAGAATGTGCATTTTGACACATTCAAAATCATGGTAGTCAACTGCTAAGTACTTTGTACATCATCTCTAATCTTCAGACAAAGCATAATGTCTGTCCATTTGGGAACTCAGAAGTTAGGAAGAACATGAAAGTGGGAAACGAATCCAGAATAACCAACTCTAACATTCTTATTCTTTACATTAAAATATGCCTTAGTTCCCTTTAATTCCCTTTTCCTTCCTATATGGAGAAACACCAGGTAAAAGGAAAAATACTTAAATGGGAATTTCACAAAATTTTCTCATTGTAGGTCTCTGACAATCAAAAAATCAACAACCGAATCAGGTTCTACAGTCAATTCATAGGTTCCAATCCCAGCCCTAGCATCACAGTTCCATTAGTAAACTATTAACACATTGATAAAAGAAGCATTCTCTTTAAACAGAAGCTTAAAAATCAAACACATTAAAGTACCTCAAAGCACTTAAGAAATAAACTTTCCAAACATGATCCTTTGTCATCATATAAAGTTGCCTGCATCAAAAAGAGATAAATGTTAAAAACAATATAACTCAGCTTTTCACAAACATCTTCAAAAAAAATAACTAAAAATTGTTTTAAAAACAAATTATGTAGGGACCAGTACAATGGTTCCATTGGCCAAGCTCCACCTGCAAGCACCAGCAGCCCCTATGGGTGCCAGCGTGAATCCTGGCTGCTCCACTTCCCATTGAGTCCCCTGTTTTTGATTTGGAGGAAGCAGCAGAGGAAGGCTCTGGGCTGAGCCAAACTAAAGCCCAGAGCTCCAGCTGTTGTGGCCACTTGGGGAGTAAATCATGAGACGAAAGATCATTCTGTCTGTCCTCCTCTCTGCATATCTAACTTTGTAATAAAAATAAAATAAATCTTTAATTTAAAAAGTAAATTAGGTGATGAAAGGATTACACACTTAAACTTGGATTTCAAATATACTTATTGTGCATTAACTCAGTCTGCAAGAGAGCAAAGAAATTTAAAAATGTAATTCTCACCACAAGGATTCTGGAATGGGATTAAATCAAAGTGGATAAACCGGGGACAAAATCAGTTAACAGAAACATTATGCTAAAATACAAAATCAATAGCCCTTTCAATACTGTTTTGGTTTCATCTCATGAGTTTTAATATTTTTGTTTTTATTTTCATTTCTTCAAAAGTCTTTTTCTTATTAATTTCTTCACTGACTCATAGGTTATACAGTAGTATCGTTCGCCTCAAGAAGGTTTATTTTCTTTTTCATTTCTTCAGCAACACATTGGTCATTCAGTAACACGTTATTTAACTTAATGCTGTAAATTTTCTATTTTTCTTCTTATTGTTGATTTTGTTTTGTGGCTTTTCATTTAAGGGAAATAAGATGTGAATATACAACACAGTATGCATCTCCACTTTCAAATCAAAGATGAATTTCAATGAAACTGTTAAATATATCTTTTTTTTTTTTATTGGAAAGGTGGATATACAGAGAGGAGAAGAGACAGAGAGGAAGATCTTCCATCCGATGATTCACTCCCCAAGTGAGCGCAACAGCCGATGCTATGCCGATGCGAAGCCAGGATCCAGGAACTTCTTCCAGGTCTCCCACATGGGTGCAGGGTCCCAAAGCTTTGAGCCGTCCTTGACTGCTTTCCCAGGCCACAAGCAGGGAGCTGGATGGGAAGTAGAGCTGCCAGGATTAGGATTAGAACTGGCGCCCATATGGGATCCCGGTATGTTCAAGGCAAGGACTTTAGCTGCTAGGCCACGCCGCCGGGCCCTGTTAAATATATCTTGACAATAGGATGCTAGTCTCTCTGCCATTTTTCACACCTGCAAGTCAGGATACACTTAAATAGCAGAATGACAGACTTAGGACGGTTTATGAAGGACTATATTATTCTAATAATATAGGGGAAATCGGGGGAGGGGAGATATGAGGAAAGGGGAAAGAGAAATCCCAGAGCAGAGCCTATGGAATGGTATCATAAAAAATAAATATTAAAAAAAAATTATCCTAAATAAGTCATTTATAAAAGACTTCACATTATAAAATTCTTTTCATGTGAAATGCCCAAAATAAGTAACTCTAGAGATAGTGAGCAGTTTGGAGTTTGCTTAGGCTTGGGTGCTGGGTATTGAGCATAGGATTGCTATCTGAAGTGACAAAAATGCTTTAAAATTAGATTGTTGTTAGCTGCAAAACTGAACTACATAAAAATCAACAGAATGAGAGGAATCAACAAATGTGCATTTTATATCTCAATACAGGTCTTCGAAATAACCAAGAGCTATTGTTTCTAAAAATTGGTTATTTCCAAGAGCTTTATTTTTGCTCCTTATTCCTTTCATCCTATACTCCTCCCTTGAACAGTACCAGCCTCACAAATCACATCACACTATGGTTTGGCTCAAATCACGCCAAGGTCTTCACAGCTCTCAAAGAAGAGAATGCAAGTCCTCACAACAGCCAATAAGGTATACTTAATCCTCATCTCCATTCTCCCTTTGCTCACTCGGTTTCAACTCTACTGATATCCTCCTATCCACAGACATATGTATCCATTCAATTTTCTGGTCAGCTTCATGGCATTTTTCCAATACTAGGGGGCTTAATTTTTCATTTTCTACTGCATTCTTCTAGAAAAGTAGCTAACAAATGACAGGTGCACACAATACATTTGTTACATATTTGTTACATGAATGAACCCAATCCAATACCTTCTAAGTACAATAACACCCAAATGCAAATGACTTGAATCTATACTGCTACAGCACAGCTCCTTCCTAAGCCCCAGGTGCTCCCTAACGACTGCTTGAGTATTTCTATGACACCTTAAATAGTCTTCTCACAATCGACTAAAAATATTTATTGGTCTCATTAATTTTCTTTTTGAGAAATCTTACCTCAGTACCATAATCAAAAATACAGAAACCTGAAAGTCATTTTGGATTTTCCTCTCCCACACCACATCGAAGATCTGATGATTCTACAAGATTTTTACAATTTCTCTCTAAATAATGTTAACACCAACTTGATCAAATGTCTTTTTTTTTATTTTTTTCTTCTTTTTTGTTTTTAAAGATTTATTTATTTATTGCAAAGTCTGATATACAGAGAGGAGAAGAGACAGAGAGGAAGATCTTCCATCCGATGATTCATGCCCCAAGTGAGCGCAACAGCCGATGCGAAGCCAGGATCCAGGAACTTCTTCCAGGTCTCCCACATGGGTGCAGGGTCCCAAAGCATGGGGCCGTCCTCGACTGCTTTCCCAGGCCATAAGCAGGGAGCTGGATGGGAAGTGGAGCTGCCAGGATTAGAACCAGCGCCCATATGGGATTTCGGGGCCTTCAAGGTGAGGACTTTAGCTGCTAGGCCACACCCCGGGGCCCCTATCTTTTTTTTTTAAAGATCTATTTATTTTTCTTGGAAAGGCAGATTTACCAAAAAAAGGAGAAACAGAAAGAAAGATCTTCCATCTGCTGGTTCACACCCCAAGTGGCTGTGATGGCCAAAGAAGAGCTAATCCAAAGCCAGGAGCCAGGAGCTTCTTCCGGGTCTCCCAAATGGCTGCAGGAGCCCAAGGCTTTGAGCCATCCTCTGCTGCCTTCCCAGGCCACAAGCAGGGAGCTAGATGGGAAGTGGAGCAGCCAGGATACAAACCAGTGCCGACATAGGATCCGGACACATACAAGGCAAGGACTTTAGCCACTAGGGCTAACACACGGCCCCAATGTCCATCACTTTTTGTCTACAATATTCTACAGCCTCTTTACTTTCAAAACAATCTTTCTAAAACACAAACATCATGTCACTCTTCTGCTCATAATTCTTAACTGGTTCCTCAAGAGTTACACACACAGTTCCTGTCTGTGCAAAAGTCTTCAATTCTTTAAAAAGCACAAAAAAGATGGGCATTCAAAATAAAACCACTGGACCCGGCGGCATAGCCTAGCGGCTAAAGTCCTCCCCTTGCATGCCCGGGATCCCGTATGGGTGCCAGTTCTAATCCTGGCAGCTCCACTTCCCATCCAGCTCCCTGCTTGTGGCCTGGGAAAGCAGTCGAGGACGGCCCCATGCTTTGGGACCCTGCACCCATGTGGGAGACCTAGAAGAAGTTCCTGGATCCTGACTTTGGATCGGCATAGCATCGGCTGTTGCGCTCACTTGGGAAGTGAACCATAGGACGGAAGATCTTCCTCTCTGTCTCTTCTCCTCTCTGTATATCTGACTTTCCAATAAATAAATAAATCTTTAAAAAAATTAAAAAAATAAATAAAACCACTCTAAATTTTATTTTGTGATCATTCTAGAAAATTAAAAAAAGTTTTAAATTCTGCCCTTTCCCCAACGTGAGCGCTTCACTCCAGCCATACTTACTTGCCTTTAGTTCACAGTACATTTCATCCCATTTAATAATTCCAAGTTATTACGCTTAAAACATCATTTTCAGTTCCCTTTGTCTCAATTTATCAATTCTGCTTAACAAACAAACAAAAATAAATCTGTAAAGACTTTTCTAAAGTCAGATGAAGATGCCCCTCCCTTAAAATCTAATGGAACCCTAAGCATACAAATTATAATTCTCACGATTTCATGTAGAATTATTGTACAAATATACAATTCTCAAATTATAATTCTACAAATTATAATTCTCATGATTAAGCCATGTTATTGAAACATTAATTTTATTTATTCTACTTTCCAAGGTAAAGCAATAAGTAGTGGTAGTAGTAAGTTTTACTAGGTTTACCATCAGAACACTCAAAAGGCTTTAAGATCACCTAGATTAATGGGGCTGGCAATGTGGCATAGTGTGTTTAGCCACTGCTTGGGACACCCACATCTTGTTTTGATGTGCCTGCCTTGAATGCTGGCTACTCTTGATTCTGATCCAGCTTCCTGCTAACGTGCCTGGTCTGAATCCTTGGTCTTACACTTCTGATCCAGCTCCTTAATGGCTCCGAAATGTAACAGAAAAAGGTCCCGAGTATTGGATCCATGCATCCATGTGGAAGACTCAGACGAAGTTCATGGTTTCAGCCTTGCCCAGCCCTGGCTGTAGTAGTTATCTGGGTATGAAAGGACTAATGGAAGATCTATTTCTGTCTCTTCCTCTTTACAACTCTCTTAAAAAATTAAATAAAAAAAAATTCCTCTGGAAAAAAAAAGTACTGTACTTCTTCAATTTAAGCTGACTGAACATTAAGCTGAGCTCCCACAACAAAAGTAATCAGAAGAGCCTGGAGCTGTGGCACACCGGGCTAAGCCTCCACCCATGGCGCAACATTCCATACTGCACGCTGGTTCAAGTCTCAGCTGCTCTACTTTCCATCCAGCTCCCTGCTTATGGCCTGGGAAGGCAGCTCATGAACCCACATGGGAGGCTTTTGAAGCAGCTCCTGGCTTCAGACTGGCCAGCTCCAGCCATTGTAACCATTTGGAGAGTGAACAAGTGCATGGAGGATATTTGTCTCTCTCTCTCTCCTCTTTTACCTGTAACTCTGCCCCTCAAAAGCCAAAAACACTTCAATATATTTTTGAAAAGAAAAAGTGATCACAAAGTTTAACTTGAAGATTTTAGGACAAAACCAGTTTTTAATTTGTTGTAATAAATTAAATATTACTTTTAAATAGCAATCTCCTAGCTTTAGTAAACAAGTAGAAAAAGCACATAATATGGTAATCCTTAACTGCTGACGACAGAGGACCTTCATGCAAAAAGACACAGATTTAATATGTTCTATATAACATTTTATTGTTAGAAACTCAAGTAAAATAAATTTCTTTTTAAAAGTTACAGTATTGGGCCCGCCGCGATAATGTAGTGGCTAAAGTCCTCGCCTTGAATGCGCTGGGATCCCATGTGGGCGCCAGTTCTAATCCCTGACAGCCCAGTTTCCCATGCAGCTCCCTGCCTGTGGCCTGGGAAAGCAGTCAAGGACAGCCCAAAGCCTTGGGACGCTGCATCTGTGTGGGAGACCCGGAAGAAGCTCCTGGCTTCGGATGGCTCAGCTCCAAATTAATAAATTAATAATAAATTTATTTATTTATTTTTCTTGGAAAGTCAGATATACAGAGAGGAGGAGAGACAGAGAGGAAGACCTCACATCCAATGATTCACCTCCAAAGTGACCGCAATGGCTGGTGTTGCGCTGATCCAGAGCCAGGAGCCAGGAACCTCCTCCAGGTCTCCCACACGGGTGCAGGGTCCCAAAGCTTGGGGCCGTCCTCAACTGTTCTTCCAGGCCACAAGCAGGGAGCTGGATCGGAAGCGGAGCTTCTGTGATCAGAACCGGCATCCACATGGAATCCAGGCGCATTCAAGGTAAGGACTTTAGCTGCTAGGCTATGCCACTGGGCCCACAAGTGCCAGTTCTAATACCACTGGCCCTGCTTCCCATCTAGCTCCCAGCTTATGGCCTGGGAAAGCAGGCGAGGACAGCCCAAAGTCTTGGGATCCTGCACCCATGTGTGAGACCCAGAAGAAGCTCCTGGCTCCTGGCTTCAGATTGGCTCAGCTCCAACCGTTGTGGTCACTTGGGGAGTGAATTATCGATGGGAGGTCCTCCTCTCTGTCTCTCCTCCTCTCTGTATATCTGACTTTGCAATAAAATAAATAAATCTTTAAAAAAAAAAAAGAAAATTTGTTTTCCTAGCACATAAGTAACATTTTATCATCTATGGAGTTTTCTTAATATTAAATCAAAAGGCAAATGCCTCATTCTTAGACACCGCAATCAATTGCTTTGCACTTACTTTGTTTCCTAAGTGAGGGATCTTCAGAATTCCATCTTGCCACACTTTTGACTTTTTTGTCTTTTGATGAGTATACAGGACCTTAATTTTAACAGAACAAAAGAAATGGCTCTTACTGAATTCAATGTTATGTTATTTTATATACTCTTCTACTGTATAATAAAAAAATAAAGGCATCCAATAAAAGTTTAGATATATAAATATCATAACAATAACAACAAAACATTGAAAAATATAGAAAAGTTGGTATTTTCATGGAATAGGTGTTTAGCCCAGTGGTTAAGACACAGGATAGGATGCACCAGTCGGAGTCCCAGTTGCTTCACTTTCAAGGCAGCTCCCTGTTAGCTTGCCCGGTAAGGCAATGGAAGATGGGTCCAAGTGTTTGGGTCCCTTCCACCCAGATGGCACATCCACACGGATTCCTAGCTCCTGGTTTCAGCCTGGTCTAGGGCTAGCTGTCAAGGTTATTTAGTGAGTGAATGCTCAGACAAAAGTATTTTTCCTTTTTCTCTCTCTCTGCTACTGCACTCAAACAAATAAATAAAAACCATTTACAAAGAGAGAAGATTATTACCTGGTCTCAAGCTCCCAATTTGTTACAAACAATAACAAATACGACAGAATGGCCAAATCAAATACAGTGCCTTGTTTGAGGTATTCTTATATTTAAGAAGTATTCACTATTTATCTGAAATTCAAATTTAACTGGATGTCCTGTTCTTCTTTTGCCAAATCTGACAATGTAGTAAGACATCTATACAAAGAAGGAAGGAAGGAAAAGAAGGAGAGAGAAAGGAACTGTGAGAATTGCAGAACTTACAATAAATTCTCGGTGTGCCATCGCTTCTTCTCAAGTGAAAACCTCCTGTGTCCAGAAAGTAATCAGTGCTGATTGAACTACTATGCCATCTGAAACAAAAAGTGACAGAACAATTAACCTTGATGGAAAGAATGAACTCTCAGACTATTCTAACTACCAACAGAAAAACAGACATGTAAAGAGATGGATCTGTCATTAGGGACTCAGGAAGAACAAGAATTCATCAAGTAAAGAGGCAACCAAGCACAATTCAAACTCATGAGCAGTACCAACATTTTTCCAAATGCTATAAGATGTATCAGAAAAGTTAATCCTGACTCATTCTTAGAGCCAGGATTATAGCCACCACAAGATGGCCCCCTTGTGTTTTCAATTTACAGTCATCCCTTGGTGCCAATGTGAGATTGATTCCAGGATCTTCTCAAGAAATAAAGACACCAAAATCTAAATGCTCAAATCCGCATATAAAATGGCATAGTTCTGGGGCCAGTGTGTCAGTGTGGCACACTAATCTGTTACCTGCAGTGCTGCTGGCATCCTAAAGGGGGTTCCAGCTCAGTTTCCAGCAGCAACACTTAACAACCCTGCTGCTGGCTAAGGGCCAGAAAGGTGACCAAGTTCTTGGGCCCCTACACCCATTACAGACTCAGAAGCTCCTGGCTCCGAACATACCCAGCTCTGGCCATTAATGCCATTTGGGGAGCGAAGCAGGGGATGGAAGATCTCTCCCTGCCTCTTTCTGTGTGTAACTCTTTCAATTAAAATAAATCTTAAAAAATAGCATATTTTGCTTATGAGCTGCATACATTCCATGTACATTTCAAATCAAGCTTTCATTGATTATAATATTTAATGTAATATAAATGATAGGTAAATAACAGTTACACTACATTGTTTCAGGAATGAATGCAAAATAGATGCCTGTTAACATTCAATACAGATCGAAATTTTTTCTGAGTATTTCCACCTTCTGGTAGTGAGGGGACGGTATGCCTATCTCATACAGCTACCCCTCATCCTATCCACTCTCCACTCAACAACCAGAGTGACCTATGCCATGGACAGGATTTAGCCCTAAGAGGTACTGTCTTTCAGAGATCTAACTCCAGCACTTCATATCCAACCCTCCAGCCACCAGGAATTACCAGAGGCCTAAGCATACCATAAAGATAAAAGAGAGGTCCAGAGAACCACAGCAACCCAGATGCTTCTGGAGCAAGGTGTCCCCAGGAACTGAACGAGCTGAATACTCCGGGTATGAAGGTGAAGTATCACGGTGTAGACAGAGTGCTTGGCAGGTGGCAGAATTAATACTTAATTACCACAATAACAGACAACACTTACAAAGTGCAAATATATACCACGCACAATACATGCAATCTTACAGTGTATATACTATTTTCATTATGCACTTTACAAAGGAGGCTGAGAGGTAGGATACATTTGGAACCCCTGCATCCCATATCACAGTAGCCTAGGTTTAAGTCCTGGATCTGCTTCCAAGTCCAGGTCCAGCTAATACCCACCTGGGAAGCAAGACTGATGGTTCAAGTCCTCAGATCCCTACCATGAGCAGTTCCCAGACCCTGCCCTTCTGGCCCACCCTCAACCATAATAAGCATTAGGACAGCAAAACTGAAGGATTGGATATCTCTCTTTCTCTTTTAAACAAACTAAAATAATTTTTTCAATCCAAAGTACACAACAGTCAAGCAACTTGCCCCGTGTTGTAAAGTAAAAAAATAGAAGATTCAGAATTTAAAACCAACTAGTATAAACAGCAGTGTACATGCTCACAAACAGTATTTCTCTCGATTATCCACTATATATCAGGTGAAAACAAGATAATTTGCATTTATCAGTGTCATAATCTTGAAGTGTGTTATCATAATTTACAGATTAGAAATGCAACAACAAACAATTTAGCATTATTTATGAGCTACTTACAGATTAAAATAAATTCTCATTATTTTCCTACATTAGACATTTCTGGGGTTTATTAGTTAAAAGGAACTGAGGGAAAAACAAACAAACAAACAAAAAAGCAACTGAGAAAGGTCAAGCTCTTTAAAATCATAAATAAACTTCTGGGATTAAGCCTAAAAAAGAAAAACTTAATTCAACTTGAAAGTATCCAGCTGTAGCTTGCCTTGTATCCAGGCAACTGTTACAGTGCTGGGAAAAGTGGTTAGTAGCTAGCAGGCATTCTGTACCTGGTTAATGCCAAGCTTGTGTTAACTATACCAGTATGCCAGCATAGATGCCTATCTTTTTTTTATCTAATGCATTTTTTTTCCTTTTTTAAAGATAAGTGTGGACAACAGGGAAGTCCAGGTCACACCAGCCCAGCACCAAGGCTGGGCAGGGCAGGGCCCTGGGTAGTGGCACTGCAGATTGCCTAGGGAAGGGGCCTGGGGACACACTGGAGTGGGAGCAGCTGAGGGAATCTTTGACAGGGAAACAATGATTTCTAGGGGCTTCCACAGACTAGGCCTCTGCACTTGCAGCTAGGCAAGGGAGCCGAGATGAAGCAGTTCAGAGAGGGGAAACAAGAGGACATGTCTGGGTCAGGCCAGGACACCTGCCCACATGGGAGACCTCAGCTGAGCTAAATGGCATATCACCTACCACCCATCAGTGCACACAAAAGCTAGAGCCAGAAGGGGTATGCCTGGTTGGGCTAGACCACAGCATCCACCCATGAGTTTCAGAGCAAGAGGTGGGCCACATCAGGCTGGGCTGCAGCACCAGAACACAAGAAAACTAGATCTGAGGGCAGGTTCTGTAAGGGAAATGTGGACTTGCCCGTAGGACTGCAATTCCCTGCGTTTGTGTGAAGAGCTGGAGGCAGAGACAGGCCAAGCCAGGCTGGACCACAGAACTCATCCAACAGGAACACACGTGACACTTGTGCAAGCTAGGCTGGGAGGAGGCTGGGCAGGTCCAGGCTGCCAGACCCACCGGCACATACAAAGGCCAGGACAGAGGGCAGATCATGCCAAGCAGGGCTGTTGCCCCCACTAGCACCTGTGAGATCAGAGGCTGGGAACATGCCTGGCAGGGGAACTGTGGCCACTCCTCTGCTAGGCTGTCCCTAACTGATGAGCACAAGAACTAAGGCTGGGGGTGGGCCAGGCCGGACAAGGCAGCAGCACCTGTGGACATCCTTAGGCTGAGCTAAGCCACAGCACCCAGGGCTATGCAAAAGAGCCAGATGGGAGATGAGCTGGGCCAGCCTAAGTTGCAGGAGAGGCTAGTGGAACAAAGACTAGGACTAGGGGTGGGCCTATAGGAGGTAACTGGGGGTTGCACCAATTAGATTGCAGCATCCCTGGTATGCACAAGGATCAGGTCTGTAATGGGCAGCACTGGGCCGCAGCACACATTGGTTCATGTGAGATATGCAGCTGGGGGTAGAACTGACCAGGCAGCTGTATCCACCAATATGCGTGTTGGCTGTTGCAGGAGACAGACCAAACTTGATCCTGCACTGGCTGGAGCACACAAGAGTGAAATCTAAAGTCACTCCAGGCAAGGTTTTTTGGGGGTCTATCCAACTAAACTGCTGGGCTCAGACCCCAGGCACAGGGAAAATCACCATATATACAGTCTGACCTTGGAGTGCATTACTGGGAGTGAGCCTCCTCAATTGCTGATGCCTAGGCTGTGGACAGCATGCCCACACGCACCCGGGGGACATGAGAGCCTGCTCAGCTAGGCCAACAGAGGACGTCAACAGCCTCATTAGAGGATGGAAAGCAGAAGAGGTTACACCACTCTTCTGGCCAAGCTTTGCATGTTCCTGGGTCTGTGGATGCACTAAGGTGGACTCTGTCAACCAAGAGGCCTTGGAAAGCAATCCTGGAGCAACAAAACCAACAACTTCTCAGAACTAGCAAAACCAATCTCAGAATAACTCAGAATACTCTTCCCGCATCAAGGTCTCTAATGCATCATCGAATGACCATCCCCCACCGGCGGGTGGGTGTGCAGGACTTCGCTCCCCGCCTTTCAAGTAAGAGGCATCTTGTTAGGACACAACCTTACCAACCAACCAAAGGAACGCCACACATCATGTTCCAAGACAATCTGGCCCGGTGCCTCCGAAGCACAGTGGGAATCTGACTTTTGGGTTATGAAAACAAACAGCACGAGCCCTTCTCCTCAGGCGCTACCTAAAGAAACGAAGGCGAGGCAGCAGTTCCCATACAGTCCAGGCAAGTGGCGCCCGCTGCCGCCTCAATCTCGGCTCAAACAGCACCCTTCCCGACCCGCCCCTGGCTCTCAACCAGCCAAGGTCCCCTGACGACCCACCCGTCATACCCTCGACACCCCCTGCAAAACGACTTCACCTTCCACGGCACAAAATCCGCTTTTCGAATTTTTCCCGCGAACGCGAGTGACATCATCACCCTGGGACCAGGCAGACAAGGACCCACGCTGAGCCCGCCCACCTCCCCGCCCCTAGAATCACACGTCATTCACACCGCCAATCAGATCCTTGACTGGCACTGCCTAACGTTCTCGCGTGTGACGTCATGGCAGGCGCGCGGCCTGCAGGCCCCGGTCTGGAAACCTGCGAGAGGGGCGTCGCTTATCCTATGACGCGAAATAGCCCCGACTTTCGGCATCTGGAGACGGAACGGGCGGAAGGACGCCGTCCCTAACGCTGTATTTGGAGACTCGAGCGGAGTGAGTCACGAGTGACCTTGAGGTCGCCTATATTGCGTGACGTGTGCATTCGTCCGGGTGTTTTTTTCTTGCAGCTCCGTCTGACGTCCGGGGTCCCTCGAGCGCGCCCTGGGCTCGCGTGGCCTGGTTGTGTGTGCGCACGCGCAGCGTCCCCCCCCCCCGGCCGTCCTGCAGTTCCAGTTTGCGTGGCGTGGGGGCGCGCGCGGCGTGGGGCGGTTTGGGGCGCGGCTGGTGCTGGGCGGGGCGGCGCGTGTTGCCGGTTGGTGTGGAAGCAGCGAACGGGAACCGCTGTATTCTAAAAGCCGATTTTCTTTAACAGGACTCTGGCCCCGACCTCAAGGAGTTGACAACCCTGTGAGGAGAGGGAGCTAGCAGTAAGTGCTGAGTCTCTGTGTCCCCAGTGCATCCGCACAGGTATTCAGCCACAGCCGATATAGATGTGGCTCTAGAAGTCCGAGATGAATAAGGTGGAGAACAGAAGTCAGCAGGACTATTTAGACAGCTTAGGACGAGTCAAAGCAAAGATACGGGCCAGGTGTACAGGAACCACACAGAGCACAAGGGTTCTTAACCGGCTGGGACCTGAGAGCTCTTTTGGAAATGTAATATACAGTTGCGGATCAGCCTCCTAGGAAAATGTGTTTATGTGTATCAAAGTATTTTCTGTATAATTTTATTGGGAAAAAAATTACTTGAGGTCTTGTTGAACTCTTGTTTTGTCATTGACCTGTTTTACAACCGTAACTTCTGCAGCATAAAGAGAGTGGAAATTGAGTTTGTCCAGTGGAGAAGTAGTTATTTTTCCCTGAGTAGTTTTAACATTCATTTCCATTTTCCTGATCGATGTGTGTACGTACCTGTGTACTTTTTTCTGTTATTATTATTTTTGAAGATTTGTTTTTATTGGAAAGGCAGGTATAGAGAGGAAGATCTTCCATCTGATGAGTCACTTCCTAATTGACCGCAGTGGCCAGAGCTGAGCTGGTCCAAAGCCAGGAGCCAGGAACTTCTTTCTGGTTTCACATGCAGGTATAGGATCCTAAGGCTTTGGGCCGTCCTCAATTGCTTTCCCAGGCCACAAGCAGGGAGCTGGATGGGAAGTGGAGCTGCCAGGATTAGAACCGGCACCCATGTGGGATCCCAGCACATTCAAGGCGAAAACTTTAGCCACTAGGCCACGCTGTGCTGGGCCTCCTGTATACTTTTTAAATTCACCTTAGAGCTGGTTTTTTCACCGCTGGTTCCTTCATTAATTATTTAAGGAAGGTCTACATTGACTTCATTTTACTTTTGTACAAGGGTCATGCATTTTTTATTTTTGTTTAAACTTATAATTTAGTGTAGTAAACAAATTTTGTTTGTTTATGTGAATGGCAGAGCATCAGAGACAGAAAGATGTCTTCCACCCTCTGGTTCACTTTCCAGATTTTAAGTTTAAGCTGGACCAGGCCCAACATGGGGGCCAGGAACTCCACTTGAGGCTCCCACCTGGGAACTGTGAGCCGGACTTCATTGGAAGCACGCAGGATTGGGATTATATACAACTCACATAATGGCCCAGTGCTCCACCATGCCCCAGTGTTCTCAGGAGCTCTTGAGTGATGGGCAGGGGTGTGGTCAAGCAGTCAGGATGTTGCTTGAAGAGCCTCATGGTTTCAACCTTGCCTGATCTACCTGTCAGCAAGCATTTCATGAGTGAACTAGTGGATGGAAGAGTTCTATCACCCTCTTGCTGGCCTTTAAGAGGGAACTAAAGGAAATTATAGTCATAATAATTCCTGTGTTAGGACATAGATTGCTAGTAACAATTACTTACTAACTAGTAAGTAAGCCTGTGAGACCCAGCTACACCTGGACCCACATATCTCGCTGGTTTTAGCAAATAAAATATCTAATAGTGTGTGAGCATTTAGAACAATGTGAAGTGCCTGGCATTTTTATGCAGTAACTTTTATTTTTTGTTTAAAGACCATAGAAGCCAATTTTTTTTTCTTAATGCATATCAGACAAGTGCTTAGAATTTCTGATGTTGAGTTCAGACAGCCACCTCAAAACCAGATCTGTTTCGACAAGTTATACATCGGCTTCTTTAAAAAGTGTCTAACTAGGCCTGGCAATGTGGCCTAGTGGCTAAAGTCCTCATCTTGAGTGTGCCAGGATCCCATATGAGTGCTGGTTCTAATCCCTGTGGCTCCACTTCCCATCCAGCTCCCTGCTTGTGGCCTGGGAAAGCAGTTGAGGACGGCTCAAAGCCTTGGGACCCTGTACCTGTGTGGGAGACCTGGAGGAAATTCCTGGCTCCTGGCTTTGGATTGGCGCAGCACTGGCCATTGTGCTCACTTGAGAAGTGAATCATCAGATGGAAGATCTTCTCCGTCTCTCCTCTCTGTATATCTGACTTTGCAATAAAAACAAATAAATCTTAAAAAAAAAAGTCTAATTGATAGGACTTAATGAGAGTGGTAAATTATAATAGTGGCACGTGGTTGCCTGTTGCTGAGTATGTTCTCTAAAGCAGCATTTTGAAAGGCTTTAGTTGCATTGTTTTGAACTGGATCCCATATAAGGATGCAGGTGTCACAGACACGGCTGTCCCTCTGTATTTAATTTATAGTCTACCAACTTGAAAGAGGTTGAAATGCTTAACATTTCTCAAGTGCTTTTCAATGTGTTTACTTAACTGTTCAACAAATATTCAGGTAATGATGAATGTAAAGTCCCATGCCCTCATAGCATTTACGTTCTAGGAAAGTAGATAAACAATACAGTTATAGTAAGAACCCTGTGCAGGGCAGAAGTTGTGCAAGAAATTGTTTTGTTTTTTAAGACTATTTAACAGGCAGAATTACACTGAGAGGGGCCTTTCTGAGTGTGCTGAGTGTGCTGCCTCACTCCCCAGCTGGCTGAAACATACTGGGCTGAGAATTGGAACACGCTAAAGCCAGGAGCTTCGTTCAGGTCTCCCACACGGGTGCATGGACCCAAGCACTCAGGCCATCTGCTGCTGCTTTCCCAGGTGTAATTGCATGGTGCTGGATTGGAAGTGGAGCATCTGGGTTCTCAAATGTGTACCTGGACAGGATGCCTGGGCAGCAGGTAGCAGCTTTGAATGCTATGCCATGACGCTTGCCCCACTTATGTTAAATTAATGATTTTTACCCTTAGGATTGCATGTAAGAGAAAAAGGGTAGAGGCAGGCGGACCACTAAGGAAGATTTTAACTATAACTTAGGCAAACCATGGAGATTGTTTGGATCAGGTGGGTTGTGAAAGAGGTATTCCTATTCAGGGTATAGTTAAAACTAACAGTCAAAGTGATGAATTGACTGTGAGGAATTAGGAATGATTTCAGGGTTTTGTCCACTTAGCAGAGTCTGTTTGCTATGTTCACTTGGAGATATGGTTTGGATCAGGGGTGGAGCATGGGGCCGTTAGGGCCATGAAGTCACATGCTCTGCCCTGCTGAGACAGCCACAGCAGGAACTGGAATGTAATAAATCTGTGTCGGGCTCATTTTTTTACATGATTATTTTGTCTGCCCTGTGAATGATGTTATAGTTACCCAGGAGGCCCTTTTGCAGAGAAAAACCTACTTTACCTAAGTAAATTGGCTGTGTCATCGGGACGGTTGCATGTTAGAATGGGGATCTAATGAGAAAATAATAGTTAGGGAGCATCTGTGTAAGGCCGAGACACTCCACACGCAGAGTATGTGGGTGAAGAGGGAGGCTCAGGATCCAGCCCCATCACAGAAAGCATGCAAAGGAAACTGCAAATGCACAGTGGGACCCACTAATGACTGGCTTTTCTGGAATGAGACAGGATGGGTACTGGTGACAGTATGGGATGATGAGTGAAGTTGTATGATTTTAATTGTTGAAGCGCCCAGTGAGACCAGATAGTGGAGCAGGAAGAAACGCAGAACAGTGTGTTCCTGCCTCTTGTAGCCATCCTGTTTGAGACTCCACATCAGCCACCTAATCCAACTCTTCCCATCCACCTTCAGGATTGGGTGAGCCCTCAGCCAGTGAAACATTGGGGCTTAAATGTCTATTGCAGAATCTGGCTTATTCTAACTGGCAGAGGCAGGAGATAGCTTACGGCTTTCATCTCCCAGGCATAATCAGCAGGAATAAATGCAGCTCTGTTGCTTATCTTCAACGTTCCTGTTAAATTTTTTTTCCCTTTGAAGGCAAGCCCAAATATTTTATGATTTATCCTATTTTAACCGTGTTAATAACTTGTGATTTACAGACATGGAAGAAATGGAAATTGAAGGCGGAAATCGAAAGAATATGGAAGAGGAAAGCACTGAAAAGAAAAAAGAAGTAGAAAAAAAGAAAAGGTCCAGAGTGAAGCAGGTGCTTGCAGATATTGCTAAGCAAGTGGACTTCTGGTTTGGGGATGCAAATCTCCACAAAGATAAATTCC